TGACGTCTAGATTAAGTGCCCTAATATTTATAACCGGCGGTGCATATACGTGAAGTTAAAGAGAACTGATATCTTCAAAAGGCCCCGCTGTGGCTCGTGTGAATATTCGGCCACGGGTTAACGAAGAATGTTAACGAGGCGTTCGTTCCGAATTTTTCAGGCTGCTCGAGTGTACACTGCCGTGCTCGATGCACTTCAAGCACTCCTGGGCACCGTCAGTTCCCAGCGATGAAAGAACTTCTTTGTTCGGTCGAGGAAAGACCGAACACCGAGAACCCCGTCTTTCGCGACTGCCGAGCAACTATGATCACAGACTACGACAAATGCCAACTGTAATCCATTATCGACATCTGACGGCTGATTTGATATTAATGCGGTGACTCGGTGTATAATATGGCATGATTTAATCCGAAATAAAATGGTCTTGTCCAGTACTGAATTTACAAATTAATCTATACAAGTTACAAACAGCTTTCTGTTCCTTTTTGGTTATAAAAACAACTTACGAATATCAAAGGAGTCAACAGTAAACCTAACCTCTTTTTGAATCGACGATATTTTTTTTTAAGATGCAATACGAATTGCGTGTTTTTACGAGCAAGCTATGAAGAACGTAAAATGAGAACGTTCCACTATTTTTTCATTGAAATTTAAAGATAATTGTACAGGGTTGCTTCTTGAACAATTGGCAAAGTTGTATAACTCTGAACTGCACTTCCTGTCTGTACATATAAATAAAACGTAGTTATGTTGCGTGCTTGTTACCCCTGGTACGTGAAGACGGCTGGACGGATCGCGATGAAACTTGGAACGTATCCATAGGGTAGTCCAATTTAAAATATAAACTATGTATATAGGATGTTCGGCCACCCATGGAAAAAATTTTAATGAGAGATTCTAGAGGTGAAAATAGGACGAAAATCAAGAACACCAATTTGTTGATGGAGACTTCGTTAAAAAGTTATTAACGTTAAAATTTCCGCCGGTACCGAATTTTTTTCTCGAAAGTGGGTAGGATTTCGGGGGTATGTGTAATGACCAAAAATGATTGCAATTGACCCCCGCAACCGAAAATAATTTTTTTAGAATGATATGAAATTTTTCAATTTTGCCGAAAAATTTGTCCAACTATTGAATTTTTTTCTCGAAAGTGGGTAGGATTTCGGGGGTATGTTTATTCACCAAAAATGATTGTAATTGGCCCCTGCAACTAAAAATAATTTTTTCAAAACGATTTGAAATTTTTTTTTTCCGTCGAAAAATTTCACATTTTCTCGAATTTTTTTCTAGAAAGTGGTTAGGATTTCGGGGGTATGTGTATTCACCAAAAATGATTGTAATTGACCCCCGCAACCGAAAATTATTTTTTTAGAACGATATGAAATTTTTTAATTTTGTCGAAAATTTCACACCTTCTCGAATTTTTTTCTCAAAAGTGGGTAGGATTTCGGGGATATGTCTAATCACTAAAAATGATTATCATTAACCCTCGCAACCGAAAATAATTTTTCCAGAACGATTTGAAAGTTTTTTTTTTCGTTGAAAAATTTAGGCACCTACCCCCTGTCGATTTTTCTTAAAAATTCATTTTCGATTTTTAGTAATTTTGTTTGACGCCCTACAGAAAAGTTGTTTAATACTTTTTTGTAGGTACCCATGAGCTCTACTGCAGAACAAAGTTTCATTGAAATACATTCACTATTGCGGGAGTTATGGCTGTTTGGAAATTGTACCCTTTTTATGGGGTTTTTCTGATTTGCGGGATCAAGGAACAACTTTTTCAATATTGTCAGAACTTCTACATATTCTTCACCAAAATATGCGTTGTTTGTCGTTCGAAACATTGAAAGTTATGACGTTTTAAAGACATGTATGAAATTTCAGGTTAGCATTTCTGGCCTCACATTAGTTTCTCGGTAATGAATTTTTTTCTCGAAAATGCGTAGGATTTCGGGGATATGTGTGACGACCAAAAATAATTGTAATCAAATCCTGCAAGCGAAAATAATTTTTACAGAATGATTTGAAAGTTTTTTTTTCGTCGAATTTAGGTACCTAATTAGATTTTCGGTAAGGAATTTTTTTCTCAAAAATGCGTAGGATTTCGGGGATATGTGTGACGACCAAAAATAATTGTAATCGAACCCTGCAACCGAAAATAATTTTTCCAGAACAATTTGAAAGTTCTTTTTCTCGTCGAAAAATTTCGGAATTAGTTTTTCGATAAGGAATTTTTTTCTCGAAAGTGCGTAGAATTTCGAGGGTATGTGTAATGACTAAAAGTAATTGTAATCGACCCCTGCATATAAAAATAATTTTTTCCGAACGATTTGAAATTTTTTAATTCAAAAAAATTTCAGCATCTACCCGATTTTTTTTCTCGAAAATGGGTAGGATTTTGGAGGTATGTGTATTCACCAAAAATGATTGTAATCGACCCCTGCATATAAAAATAATTTTTTCGAAACGATTTGAAATTTTTTAATTTAATTTTTTAATAACTTTTTAACAAAGCCTCAATCAAGAAATTGATATTCCCATTAAAATTTTTACCAGGGGTGGCTGAACACCCTGTATAACATCGTATAATTTTTATCGAGAAGGGAAAGTTTCCTGACCCGAAAAACATTATTAGGTTAAGGTACGAGCTATTTTTTGGAAATTTGTCGACACAATATTATTATTTTTTTAAATAATATAGACTGAAATTATATTTAGCGAGCACTTGTGGGGTGCACACTTTTTTAGTCGAGGAGGCCTCCGATCGTTCCTCAACTTCGCGACCTCGGAAACCTTCGTCCAATTTACAATCGAGGGATCGAAACGTGCGCACAGAAACTGGTCTGGATTTGGATCCGAATTAAAATAAAACGAAACCCCGCGGTAATCCACAGTTTTATTCTTAGTGGTCTCCCTCGCGGTTCGATCGATGATTAATTATAGTCGAACGGTTTAAAAATACGCGTGCCCGCGGAAGGTTTTTTCCAGCGAGTAAACAATCTTCGAAATCCCACGGTTTGAGTATCGATCTGTCCGTTTTCCCCGGCGTTTAGCCGCGCCGTTATCCTAGAATCGGACGCGAAGCGTGTCGAAGAGACACGTGAAAACATTGGAACGCAACGGAAACTAAACGGGTACGTGGTTCGAAGCACTGGGAACGAGTTAAACCGATAAGCCGCGCTAGTTGCAAACAGTAGCATGAATAGTTAAAGAGAGTGATCGTGAGTTTCAATGAAAGCAAACAATAACTGTTATAATAATGTCATAATGCCGTCGAAGGCAGTCAGGAATGTTCTATATCGATTTAACTTAAAAATTACGCGTACACGATATGAATACGAATATGCATAATCCAAATGCATACGTGGCCTTCGTACTACGTTACCCCCTTTTACTTGCAATGAAAGGAACCAAACTGTTCCACTTCATTTTCGGTCGATTAACAATGAGAGAACAAAAATGAAACTACGAAAATAATATTCACGTTCGAGCAATCAACTATCCGAAGAGTATTCGAATTTTGTTCAATGGAGGCCAAAATAAGACGAAAGTCAAGAATATCAAGTTCTTGACTGAGGCTTCGTTAAAAAGTTATTAACAATTAAATTCAAAGATTTCAAATCGTTCTGGAAAAATTATTTTCGATTGCGGGGGTCAATTACAATCATTTTTGGTTATTATACATATCCTCGAAATCCTAGGCACTTTCGAGAAAAAAATTCGAGAAGGTGTGAAATTTTTCGACAAAATTAAAGAATTTCAAATCGTTCTGGAAAAATTATTTTCGGTTGCGAGGGTTAATGATAATCATTTTTAGTGATTAGACATATCCCCGAAATCCTGCGCATTTTTTGAGAAAAAAATTCAGTATGGGTGGAACTTTAAACGTTAATAACTTTTTAATAAAGCCTTCATCAACAAATTAGTATTCTTGATTTTCGTCTTATTTTGGCCTCTAGAATCCCTCATCAAAATTTTTCCCAGGGTTGACCGACCAACCTGTATTCTGGCCACCGACTTCCACGATCGTCATTTGAGAATTAATTGACCTTCGAACGCGAGGCAAACGGAGATCAACGTAAACAGCTTTCTTCGCTAAACGCGACTGTTTCCAGTACGAGGAACTTGGTAGATGCGTCGTTTCCCGGAAGCGGCCGGTAAGATTAACGTTGGCGAGCAAAACGTGAATTAGCGGCCCTAGCGAATGAATGAAACGCGAGAATCTTCGAACGAGAATGCTCGCTACTAACCGACCCGGGTACTCGACGACAATATTGTGTACGTTGTGCAAATTTATATGAATGACTCTGTTGCGAGTCTGCGATACCGCTGGCTTAAAAGTTACGTGCACGGTGCAACCACAATGGAGACGATTCGACTCGATAAAATAACACGGTACGGAATAAAAATACATATACAGTGTACTACTAGAAATGAACTATGACTATATATGTACTCATTAACACTATTAAAATTTCAAGCTTATATCTAAATAAGAAGTTTGTCTATCCCTGGGATACCTTCTACGAGGGAAACTGTACTTGGATAATAAAACTTTCGGAAGAAACGAGCCCCGTAACAGGAAACGACACGTGCTAAATTTCACTCTGCAGAACTAGTACGCTTCCGAAGATTCGCGATAGTTGACGATGATTATTCATTCAACGTTTTTATCACTAAACTGTATGAATTTTAAATAAACCTGATGCGGCTGAAATAACGTCGATGCAACTAAACCTGAATAATTATGCGTTATAAACATATAAGAATACGCGACTAAAAATAATAAATACATTTTCAACAATTTCCAATAGTCGTCGATAACTTTTCATTCAACATCTTTATCGCTCAAGACGTAAACATTTGAACATAAAAAGACCATCGTAGAAACGCTGATGTATACTCATACAGAATTCAAGTTGTAAAAAATATGTCCTTAGGTTCGTTAATCGCGGTTCGACCGCGAACCACGCGACAAAGATGTAAATAAAAGCGCTTACGTTCGGCCTGTTACGGGAATCTCATGTTCTCCGGTAAGTGTTCGCGATCGCTGACACTTTCACTCGGGGTCAAGTTCATTCCGTTGATCGACGAATTCTTTGATCGTTGTTCCCGCACGAGATCCATCGAGCGTCACATTTTGATCGCGCGCGTTTCCCGCACCGGCAACGTGTATTCGTACTCGGCGCCGCGCACTTCTCACGCATCGACACTCCCGCGCTCCACGACGCGCGCACTGTGAATGATCACGCAGCGAGATACGTTGATCCGGCGTCCACGGTGATCGCGTACACAAGCCCCGGCGACCAATCGGAGACCAGCCACGGATACCCTCCAGTCCAATAGGAACGACGCCAAGTTTCACGCGTGACGGACTTACCGACCGTACCATCTGTCAATACGCTTGAATTTTAAACACGTGTCGTGTTTCAACTTTCTTTTAACGCATTCTTCACTATAAAACTATTTTCCAACGATCGTTTCACGAGGCATCCATCAATTTGAACTATAGCTTGACGCGAAAGGATTGTTAAACACGACAGTCTTTACAAGCATTCTATGATAAAGATTTTTTAAAACCTATTAAATCTTGACAGAATTCTTTACCCTTTCAAAACAAAGAATGCTTTTCTTTGGTATTTTCTACCACCTCAAATCCTAACAGATAGATGATTTGTAATAAACTAAATTACTCTTAGAAATAATATTGCATTTTTACCATTTTTCTAAAGAACAACGTCGCATCGGCTGAAGCTTTATTGCGTTTCGCCCTAAGAAGACAAGGACTGCTCGATGGACTATGATTCTGCTCGATTGGTTCTTTTTTATGCCGATCGATCGATTAATGCCTAACATTAATCACAGGGCGCAAGACCCGGGGAAGCGAATTAGAATAGGAAGGAAGACGACTTGTTCCGCAGCCGTCCGTAGATATATGATAAACGAAATGGAACTATATAAGGTGGCGCGGTGGCATGCACTCCGTGGTAGAATTATGGTGCAAGCTGCGAGTCGCGCGTTCGATGTGCTTGTGCTGACCGCACTCCTGACGCTGCTGTTCGTCGATCAAGTAAGAACGACGACGAGGAACTCGACTTGTAATGATGCAGCCACCATGTACCGCTGCAGCATGCTATAACCCCGTAGAATGTTAGCGCATATCTCGTGTACCAGTGTCTCCTTGTTCTATTCTGCTCGACCCGAGGTCGATCAATACGTCGGTTTTACGCACGGTTCGCCCGTGTCTAGACAATGAACCCCTGTTCGCTGTATTTCTTGTCCATGCGTAAGTCTTTTACCAGATTCACTTTTGTTTCACATGACAACTCGATAACGTCGCTCTTCTTTCCTCGAATCAACTGTGCGCGACAAATTCGTCGTTGTATCGCGTGCATTTTCTCTCGCGACGAAAACAATCCTTTCTCGTGCGGATGTCCCTCGATGGGATATGAGAGAGTCGGTGGAATTTTTCTACAGCAAGTATCGTGACATTTCTCATTGATGATTCGACGGATAATCGAAATTTTACACGCTAGATTCCTGCAAAAGATATTACATTAAAAGCCCCGACACATTCGCATGTAATGCTTAATTTAAATAAATCACAATTAAATAAAAATTGAATTTAATTCGACTACCTTTCATTTAATAAAAGTTACTTTTTCGCTTTATATTCAAGGTGTCTTCTAGGCTGTGCAATGGGGGGCATGTGTAAGTTTCTCACGCATAGTCTTAAAACCGGCCCACCTGAATTTTTTAAAACATACCGAGCGAACGTTTAATTATTTTTAGCTGCTCTCCTCCAAAAGACTGTTGTTCCTTTGGCTGTTGTTACAGTGTATTCCAAGTGCACTCTACATCAGACATGTTTAATTTCTTGATTTGGACTTATTGGTACTTATGGTCAGTACATTGATTATCCGTGCGGCAGCTCTTTTAAAAGAGTCGTAGTCAATGTACAATCTATATTATTTAGGGCAGCGGTACTTATAGGGTTGGCTATAGCAGCAGCATGCGGTTGCTGGCTATGGAGACGCAACCGCTCGGTCATGGTGGAAGACTGTGCCTCTTCGGATAGAGCTTCCACAGGACCATGGTACCCACCGCCGCATTATAGTCACTGTAGTTCCTTCGTTCAAGCATTGCCGCCACCCTACAACGAGGTACATGTTATTTATACGACTCATATAGATTTCATTATTATATCAATACTCTTGAATTTTTAGGTTACAGCCAAGCCGGATTTGTATCCATTGGTGATCGGATACGACGAGGGATCGGGCAAAGGAACATCAGGATTTGTGATGCGTTACTTCAGATCACTGTCACACGCGAGCACACTGGACTCCCTGAGCTCCAGTTTCATGTGCAATATGGTAAACGAAGCAAATACCATAATTCCACCACCGTACTCCTGTAACAATAGCGTCGATGAGCTATCCGCAGTGGAATGCGAGAGGATGGAAAACATGGATGTTGGTTCCGTTGTTTCGTTGGCTAATCATAGGACAACGTCTGACATATCGAGTTTAGCTGCTCAATCTCCGTGTTCACCACCACGGGCTACTAGTCCAACGATAGAGGTATCGGACTTATGTGCCAATAAATATTAATAAACGTCACGTTATGTCAGAAATGTCAACTGACAGCCAATATTATTTTACAGTTACGTGAACTGTTAGACAAAATTCAACAGCTACCACAGCTACCCAGTGGGCATAGCACCGTTTTGCCTTGTTATCAAAATCGACCTCAAGTTCTGTGTACGACGAATGCAAACGGCTCTACGCAACGGCCTCTAAGTCCAGGTGACGTTGTCGGATCATACAAAGCCAGAAGAACACGAGGGAAAATGTACATGCCGTTAGGCCATCCGGGTTCAAAAAACAAAACAAAACGATGGTTGTCGCGTTCGGCGCCGACAACGCCATCGGGCACGATACCAATGTCCTTCTTGCCCGGGCAAAGTAGGCGACCTTCTGAAGCGGATGGCAACAATCAGCAGGTAGTTCCGTTACTCTCGGAACAAGACGAGACGGAGAACAATACCGTCGATCATATGAACGGCATCCCGCCGCTGTCCGAGCAAGAAGAAGACCGGCAACAAACATGACGAATCGTCTAAGTATTTTTTAAATATTAAGAACTCGATTCCAGATATCGTCGTACCGAGTAATCTGTATATTTTTTAACGTGGCTGGTAAAACTCCTCGTCGCAGTTTTAAGCGAACCGTTACCGTGTATAAAGTTTGGCAATTGATTTCGTCCGGAAACAAATACCGCCAGTGCTCCTAGAAAAGAGAAACTTGTTCAATGCTGTGACCTAATTTACGTTTGTCCGACATCCGCAGCCAAACGCCGTAGTAAATTTTCTTTTTTCTAGCGAGTCTTCTGAACCGAACCGTTACGCGATAGTATGATAAACGATAACGTACACCTTAAGCTCTATGGAATAGCTTGCAGTTAACTTACAAACTGACAAACACACACATACATACATACACACACACACACATACACACGAAACGTTACGATAATAGATTTTACGTAGACGATACCGAAGCTCCGCTTTTTGAACTCACAACCAAACTGTGTATTTGATACATCGAATTGAATTTTTTGCGTAACTCGAACGAAACGTAAACCATAAGTTAAGGGAAACGAAACCTTAGTTGTTGCATCGATAAGTTTTAATCGTACACAGTAATACAGTGTCCATCCAAAAGCAGCCAGCCAGAGAGAAGTTAAGGACAATATACGAATATAAAAAAAGTAGCGCTGTGTCCGAGCGTGAATGAAACAGCGATACGCGAGAAGAGAAGCACGATTTCACGCGTCAACGTACAATATCAATTCCGTCAAGCGGTAGAGGAGAAAAGGATTCGTTGTAAACGAATACTTAAACGCAAGCACAACGATTGCAGCGTCGTTATAGGTAATTTTAATTCGAACGACGCGAAGAATCTAATACGTACGGAGAAAACGATCGATATAGGGCGCCGAGGTGAAGCGATAAATCTACGGTGTCATCGCGATGATCCCCCCCATTCATAATCATAGAATTTACCAAACATTTGTTACAACTAATCACAGACTTTATTCTTTAAGACGTAACGAGAAGCAGTCACTTTAAAACTGTACCACGTCATTCACGTACACACCATGTATTAACGTGTATTTTTTTATAAATCAGATAACAAATAAAAAGTCCAAGCTTTTACTTGATCGTTCCACCTGTTACCGTATATCCCCGTTGTTACTACTTTAATCGACGATCGTCGTTATTAATAAAGATGTTGGAATTGTCTTTATACTTTACTCGCTATTTATCCTAATCTCCGTGCGATCTTCCACTCGAGACACGTCCGTTTCGATTCCATCACTGGCGGATCAGCGCTATAAACATGGAACGATTAACTGAAGCGCGGGAATTAATCGAGAATCGATATTTCAAAAACTCAAATAACAAGTTAACCCCAGTGGTTCTTAACCTGTAGTTCGCGGATCTTGAGAGTATCATAGATATCTGAAGTTTCGCGAACTTGCACAGAGAAATTTTACTTTCATTTATATTCGTTGCATACATTATGCCTAAAAATATTAACTTTATCTTTAAATTAAATCTTTCGATTTAATGTCCTGAATTTACCATTATAATTTATACAGTCCGTGGAAAAAATTAAGAACCACTGGCCTAACCTACAACTAAACGACTTAAAATGTGTCCTGCTCGTTTGCAGATCCGGTAGCGCGTCTTTTTTGGTTTCCAAGAAAAACACGCAATGTCCGTAAGTAAAAAGAAAATATCGATATCGAAGGTTTGTCGATGAAAAGCTGATAAACTAATTTGATTTGAACGTTTCTTTTTACAGGTGGCGAAACAGGTAAAGCTTTGTTATATTATCAACATAACCTCCAAATCGTTTCATGTTTTGTATATTTTATAGCAACAGAATGCCCATGGGGAGCCCAAAGAAAAGAGGAGGAAAGAGAGTATTCTTGATTTGTCCAAGTATTTAGAGAAGAACATTAGGGTAAAGTTTGCTGGGGGTAGGGAGGCCTCAGGAATTCTTAAGGGGTACGATCCTCTGCTTAACTTGGTGCTGGATAATACTACGGAATACCTCAGAGGTAATTTCATGAATTATTTTAATCAACGGATACGTTAAAGGAAAATATATTTGGTATAAACGCTTACCATGATGTTCGTCTTGTTAGATCCCGATGATCCGTATAAGTTAAATCAAGATACTCGTATGCTTGGCTTGGTCGTATGCAGAGGCACATCTGTAGTACTTATCTGTCCAGTAGATGGAATGGAATCTATTCAGAACCCTTTTATACAACAAGATGGTTAACTAAATTCATTTTTCCTCTGATCGAGATTATTATTTGAAAAGCAAGGCACTTTGTTTTGCAGAAAATCTAGTTTACGAAATGTTGAAAAGGTGAATTCTTTTGTAATGGAAATGGACATAATTTATTTTACATCGTAAACTATGTAAACTTATATAGTAAATAAATGGATTTTTATATATATATATAAATGTGTGTGTGCGTGAATGCAGGTATATTTTCAAATAAATAATTTTCACTCTGTCTCCGCGTATAAAATTGTTGCACTTCCCGCAACTATGTCTCGTAACGTTTACAATTTAAACATGGCATGGTAATTACTGGATACTATGTACGCTTGTCATTCGAATCCAAACTCGTTCCTCAACCATGGATATTCTTTGGGGCATTCGAAACATGTATTTAAATAACGATACGACTTGAGCACCCTGCTAGGTAATTTACAGCTGCTCGGTAAGTCGCAAGCAATTTCGAACGGCTGGAATTGCCGCTTGTCGCATCGCCAAGGCTTGAAACTCTCGATCGTGTTTAAGGACACTGGCGCGCGCATCCATTCGATCACCTGATGGCTCGTCACGAAATACACGTCGTTCAAACGAAGCACGTCGTCCATGAATTTCTAAGAGATTCAAAGGCAAGTGACAACGTGGTCGTCAAAGGTTCTCCGACATCATAAAAAATTACTTACAGTCAACACGTAAAAGTACATTGGATTTCGGAACCAGGACGCGTGCAAATGCAGACCCATCGGGGCACGATTGCTGAGGTAATGCCTCTTGAAGTTCAGCATCAGTATTTTATACACATCCTCGCCCGATAAATTCGGCGAACACGAGTCCATCTTCGTGCAAATGTATTCCTAACGCGGCGTGAACGATTTTCTTCGTTTTAAATACGAGGACATTTTAAACAGATGGCGCTATGTTAACCATGGTAACTTACACCTGCCAGAAGTTGATTCAACGGAAGCTCCCAGATGCCCGGATACGCGCGAGTTGGACAGAGTTGTTCGGGACCTATGCAATCGTGCGGTGGCTTGTAGTCCAATGTGTACGGCCATATTGGCGGATCGGAAAACGGAACCAGCATGGACGAGTCGTAGACAAAGCCAAATTCCGACATCATCAGAAACTGTCGGTTCCAACCGACGCGTAAGAAGGGCGCCCTTAAACCTATAGAGTAAAAATATTCGAGTGTCTTCTTCTACTAAAATGTGACATAAATTTCTAGAGAAACCGTCAATCACCCTTGATGTCTTTGAGCCTAACTCCAGCATATTTGTTAATGATATTCGCCACGCCAACCATCTCGTCGAACCAGTCCTCGATAGTGGCGTTCTTCGACCACCAGTTCTCGGGTCCACGGTGCCTGTGCAATTAAAACCGAATACCCAACATTTACATGTTATAAAAACCTCTGAGCGATCCGCGTTTTATCAAGGTTCTGGGGTAAGTGCCGTGGCCAGATCCTTTTAGAACATCCTTATCTTACTACACGTGCCGTGCAGCACCATGACAACCACCATAAACAAAACATCCGCGACTCTTAGAATTCGTCTCGAGTATCAACTACGTCGACCCAAGTCTGATGACAGACTTGTGGTTCCGAGTGTGGCGTCGCCTCCCATGCTCGCCACCAGAGGGGTCGCGCTCTCACAAGCGCTCGACCGACCCCTCCGTTGCTATATATACACTCCTCGAACGACTTCCCAATATCCCAGTCGTCTAAGGCAGGGCCTGCTAGAAAGCCTTACTGACGAGTCCACTGGCAGGCCCGGACGAAACGCGCCTCCTCCTTTCCTTTTCTGTACTCCTACGAATTCTCACGAGATCCTCTACCCGCAGCGAAGCAGCGCCACACGAGTATCGACACCTAGGATACTCTTGAGGATCTGGTGAAAGCCCCAAATACATTTACCCTGGCACGTGTCACCCCTTGAAAGAGGAATTGACGCTAACCTACAAATTGCTTAAACTTCAGACAATTGCACGGGGCCCGTTGGCGGTTCATCATGAGTTGGACTTGTTTTTATTGCATTGTAACCTATCCTATTATTGTTGGATGACCAATAAACTAAATATCGATACGTCATCGTCTGTTAGTCACTAGGTCTAAGGGTCCTCCTCCCCTAATATTGCTGAGACATACATATATGTATATCCCCGGGCTGTAGGGCCCAGGGGAGTTGCACAAGAAGTCTGCGAGTGTCAACGCCTTCTCCAAGAGTCAAATTCCGTTATTCTTCATAGTTGAGTTCAACGTGATCGAATAAACTCTTACAATACAAAAGGAGCATTACTTGACCACCCCGATTCCAACATTATTCTACCTTATCTCGTGCTTCTTCGCGTCGCAATAAGCTGAAGATTACACGCGACACCAGGCGCGAGATTACGGACTTTCTCGGTTCAGCTGCCCGGTATGAAAGAGAAGAGACGCTGGGCGGAAGTTGGGGGACCTTGATCCGAAGATTAACGCGGTTCGTTTCGTCTCAAGAAGCATTTCTTACGTGACAGAGTGCGCGGCGATCTCGTGCCCGACATTCCACAAGTACTGCACGTCCCTGTAATTGGTGTACTGATGGCTAACGTAGAAAGTGCCTCTCACGGGGCATCCGTTCGGATTCCGCCTGTCGTCGGGAAATATTTCTGTGAGCAAAACCAGAAATCGAGATCAACTGTTGAAACTTTCTCCGCGCGAGCGTGCGTTTGATAAAACAACGTCGTACTTACTGGCGTAGATCTCGAAGTTCTCCGCGTTCACGGCGTCGTCGAAAGTGACGGTTATCATCTGCGGGATCGTAGACGCCGTCAGGTTACCGGGAACTCGAGTCCCGTCCTCGGAACACCAACAATTGGGCAGGCGGCATTCCTTCGGATTGCAGGGTAACGCGCCGTTCGTGTCGTTTCGAGTATCTGTGGATCGTTCGTATTAGTAGATTCGTATTATTTTATCCGACAGTTACGTATAAATCGATAGAAAGCAGAAAAATAAACGAATATTTAATTACTATTATACAAATGTCACTGATTCATAAATCGTATATTGTCGCCGTTCGTATCGTTTCGAGTATCTGTGGATCGTTCGTATTAGTAGATTCGTATTATTTTATCCGACAGTTACGTATAAATCGATAGAAAGCAGAAAAATAAACGAATATTTAATTACTATTATACAAATGTCGCTGTTTCATAAATCGTATCGTTTCGAGTACCTGTGGATCGTTCGTACAGTAGATTCGTATTATTTTATCCGACAGTTACGTATAAACCGATAGAAAGCAGAAAAATAAACGAATATTTAATTTGTAAGCAACCTTTAGGTTTGTAACGAATGAATGCGGTTATATTATGTGGGAGTTTCGATTGAAGGCATTACCGACTATGTGTGTGTGTTTCGCGTGAAGTATGTATTAGAAGTTGTTCATTTTATTAGTTAATCGTTTGTTAATAATAATTTAGTTAGTTACGTTCGAGCCAGCTTTCTGTACAAAACATTGAATTTAGATATTAAAGAGAAAATATCTTACAAATTACTATTATACAAATGTCACTGATTCATAAATCGTATATTGTCGCCATTCGTATCGTTTCGAGTATCTGTGGATCGTTCGTACAGTAGATTCGTATTATTTTATCCGACAGTTACGTATAAATCGATAGAAAGCAGAAAAATAAACGAATATTTAATTACTATTATACAAATGTCACTGATTCGTAAATCGTATATTGTCGATGCAAGATGGCGTCGCTGAAATGTTCGATTATCATCGTTTTGAACGTTGTCGATATAAAATTACGAACATTTACGAAATTTTATCCGACAGTTACGTATAAATCAATGGAAAGCAGAAAAATAAACGAATATTTAATTACTATTATACAAACGTCACTGATTCGTAAATCGTATATTGTCGATGCAAGATGGCGTCGCTGAAATGTTCGATGATAATCATTTTGAACGTTGTCGATATAAAATTACGAACATTTACGAAATTTTATCCGACAGTTACGTATAAATCAATGGAAAGCAGAAAAATAAACGAATATTTAATTATTAAAAATGTCACTGATTCGTAAATCGTATATTGTCGATGCAAGATGGCGTCGCTGAAATGTTCGATGATCATCATTTTGAACGTTGTCGATATAAAATTACGAACATTTACGAAATTTTATCCGACAGTTACGTATAAATCAATGGAAAGCAGAAAAATAAACGAATATTTAATTATTAAAAATGTCACTGATTCGTAAATCGTATATTGTCGATGCAAGATGGCGTCGCTGAAATGTTCGATGATCATCATTTTGAACGTTGTCGATATAAAATTACGAACATTTACGAAATTTTATCCGACAGTTACGTATAAATCAATGGAAAGCAGAAAAATAAACGAATATTTAATTACTATTATACAAACGTCACTGATTCGTAAATCGTATATTGTCGATGCAAGATGGCGTCGCTGAAATGTTCGATGATAATCATTTTGAACGTTGTCGATATAAAATTACGAACATTTACGAAATTTTATCCGACAGTTACGTATAAATCAATGGAAAGCAGAAAAATAAACGAATATTTAATTACTATTATACAAATGTCACTGATTCGTAAATCGTATATTGTCGATGCAAGATGGCGTCGCTGAAATGTTCGATGGTCATCATTTTGAACGTTGTCGATATAAAATTACGAACATTTACGAAATTTTATCCGACAGTTACGTATAAATCAATGGAAAGCAGAAAAATATACGAATATTTAATTACTATTATACAAATGTCACTGATTCGTAAATCGTATATTGTCGATGCAAGATGGCGTCGCTGAAATGTTCGATGGTCATCATTTTGAACGTTGTCGATATAAAATTACGAACATTTACGAAATTTTATCCGACAGTTACGTATAAATCAATGGAAAGCAGAAAAATAAACGAATATTTAATTACTATTATACAAACGTCACTGATTCGTAAATCGTATATTGTCGATGCAAGATGGCGTCGCTGAAATGTTCGATGATAATCATTTTGAACGTTGTCGATATAAAATTACGAACATTTACGAAATTTTATCCGACAGTTACGTATAAATCAATGGAAAGCAGAAAAATAAACGAATATTTAATTACTATTATACAAACGTCACTGATTCGTAAATCGTATATTGTCGATGCAAGATGGCGTCGCTGAAATGTTCGATGATAATCATTTTGAACGTTGTCGATATAAAATTACGAACATTTACGAAATTTTATCCGACAGTTACGTATAAATCAATGGAAAGCAGAAAAATAAACGAATATTTAATTACTATTATACAAATGTCACTGATTCGTAAATCGTATATTGTCGATGCAAGATGGCGTCGCTGAAATGTTCGATGGTCATCATTTTGAACGTTGTCGATATAAAATTACGAACATTTACGAAATTTTATCCGACAGTTACGTATAAATCAATGGAAAGCAGAAAAATAAACGAATATTTAATTATTAAAAATGTCACTGATTCGTAAATCGTATATTGTCGATGCAAGATGGCGTCGCTGAAATGTTCGATGATCATCATTTTGAACGTTGTCGATATAAAATTACGAACATTTACGAAATTTTATCCGACAGTTACGTATAAATCAATGGAAAGCAGAAAAATAAACGAATATTTAATTATTAAAAATGTCACTGATTCGTAAATCGTATATTGTCGATGCAAGATGGCGTCGCTGAAATGTTCGATGATCATCATTTTGAACGTTGTCGATATAAAATTACGAACATTTACGAAATTTTATCCGACAGTTACGTATAAATCAATGGAAAGCAGAAAAATAAACGAATATTTAATTACTATTATACAAACGTCACTGATTCGTAAATCGTATATTGTCGATGCAAGATGGCGTCGCTGAAATGTTCGATGATAATCATTTTGAACGTTGTCGATATAAAATTACGAACATTTACGAAATTTTATCCGACAGTTACGTATAAATCAATGGAAAGCAGAAAAATAAACGAATATTTAATTACTATTATACAAATGTCACTGATTCGTAAATCGTATATTGTCGATGCAAGATGGCGTCGCTGAAATGTTCGATGGTCATCATTTTGAACGTTGTCGATATAAAATTACGAACATTTACGAAATTTTATCCGACAGTTACGTATAAATCAATGGAAAGCAGAAAAATAAACGAATATTTAATTACTATTATACAAACGTCACTGATTCGTAAATCGTATATTGTCGATGCAAGATGGCGTCGCTGAAATGTTCGATTATCATCGTTTTAAACGTTGTCGGTATAAAATTACGAACAAACACGCGTTGTGTTTGAAAGCATTGAACTCGTAGGTATTCCTTACCGCACCAGCCTTCGTCGGAGCCATCGGGACAGTCAACGCTCCCGTCGCAGAAGTATGCAGCCGGAAAGCACGTACCGTCGCCGCAAGCCAAGTGCTTCTCATCGCAATCGCCGTCACCGAGCAGCGGTCTCGGTGGTTGCTTCTCTATAAAGCGCTTGAGAAATTTCTAATCACCATTCGATGTGAATCAACAACGTACCCTTTTCGATCAGGGTACAAAAACGTTTGTGCAGGGATTGCAACATCGACAACAGAATATAAAGTAATAAAGAGACAACTACCAACCAAATGGTATTAATAGTTCAAGCACCTAATGTACCGTAAATAAAATAAATTTTGCAATCCCTGGCTTCGAGCTGCGTATCGATAAAATCGCGTACCTGAGGTCACGTCGCAGTTGTCGACGTTCGCTTTGAAGTCGCATATCTGCCTGGAAACGTCGAACAACAGCCCTTGCGAGCACCTGAACTCGAACACTTCGTTATCTAACATAGGCGAAAGCTCGTTAAATGTATCGTCCGAATTACGTCGAGTTTGGTGTCATTTTAATTTAAAAAATGTCACGAATATGGTAAAAAAATTTGCATGGAAAACGAATGAAAAATAAAGAAGTTTTGTCTCGCACGGATATTCGACACCGGATCATGTTACGTTATTCGGCGAACGAGCATTATAATCGCTTCACTGACTCCACGGGGCCAGTAGCGAGGATAAAATTTGAACGTTTAACCTAAGGCACCGGTTGCGCATTTAACGCGGGAACATGTAAGTACATAATGCAATCGTCGGGCAATTACCTAAGCAGAGGTAATACTTGGCGCACTCTGCCGGCGACCATACGTTGCTAGCCGGCGAATTGGGGTTCCGATAGAATCTGCTGTCGTCGATACACGGCGTGTTTTCCGATTTCTCTGTTCCCTGCGCCGCGGCCGCTGAAACACACAAAACTTGCATCGATCCGTCGGTTTCTGCCAAAACTATCTTCGTACTGACAACGGAGCTAAATAAGTGAAACAGATATAAGCTCGCGCCGAATTGTTCCAAGTTTCGAACAAAAACGAACGAGAGTAGAAATAGTAAATAATTCCGTGCACCAACACTTTCACGATTCCTTTCGCACTGTCGAAACGACTGTTCGAGGAGAAATTTTGCCGTCCGCACTAACGTTTTCACTCGGGCGCAAAAACGGAAGTGAAATTATCCACAACACGCGGAAGCATAAATGGTACCCCGAGACGCGGTCGGTTTCCGCTTCGTACGACGCCTCGAAACACACGAGAATTTACTCGACATCACGAATACAACACTTTTAAACGTCGAACGTTATTCGATGATTATAACTCGGTATAGGTTAGGAACCATGGTTTGCAAATAGTTTGAAAGACACCCACCCTTAGACTTTCGTATATAGCGCCGCCTGGATTTTTTAATCGCATACAAATAGGCCAATCAAACAGTTACACTTCGTACTAATTGACGATTCCGGGAAAATAGGCGGCTAAGCTTTCTTTCGACGAAATTACACTTTAGATATCCCGGCAACAATGCGATTAACAAACACAAAGACACTAAGGTTAATAATTTTCTTCTTGTACAGAGTAATATGAACATTATTACTATTATTATTTACGCGGGAATTAAATGAGTCGTATGTTCCGTGGAATTGAACCCCGCCTTTCACGCTACTCTGTACATTTTCTTCTTGTAACAAAGATACTATTATTATCAGTGTTTACACGAAAATTAAAAGATCGAATGAGGCAGAGGTGCGCGTTGAAACTCACCGGAAAAAGCGAGCGCGACGAGAAGCAGCGAATGCAACTTGGACGATCTCATGTCGATTGACGGGTAGCGAGACGATTCGTTTTACGTTTCTCGCTCCTCGTACGAGAACCCGCACTTTCCAACTGACACCTCCCTCCAGAACTCGGCCTTATATGATGAGTATTCGCTTTGCTTGCCGATCTTCCGCGGCGTTTATTTTCACTGACCGCCGATCGGGGAAATCTGGATCAACGACTCGACCGCGCGATGAAAACTCGCGCGACCGCGAAGGAAATCGTTGCTTTCCGTCGCCGTGTGTGCCATTGTGCCCCCGACTTTCGACGGGGTCGTTACGCGACGGAAGGCTCGAACGCACTAATTTCGAGGTTATGGGTTCCCAACGATCAACGATCGAAGAAAGTTCGCGCGAAAAAGTCATCGTTTTCAACACGATACAATAGTAAAATTTCTAATATTGGTTCTTTAATCTCTATGCAAATAGAGATATAGGAGTCTAAGAGAGGCTGATGAAACTCATTTAATAAAATAGGTTAATTGCAAATAACGATCGACGATTTCGATAATTGCAATGGTCGATTCGATTCCATTTGGCTCGAACGCACTAATTTCGAGGTTATGGGTTCCCAACGATCAACGATCGAAGAAAGTTTGCGCGAAAAAGTCATCGTTTTCAATACACTACAATAGTCAAATTTCTAATATTGATTCTTTAATCTCTATGCAAATAGAAATATAGGAGTCTAAGAGAGGCTGATGAAACTCATTTAATAAAATAGGTTAATTGCAAATAACGATCGACGATTCCACTAATTGCAATGGTCGATTCGATTCCATTTTGGCGTCCAGTGATACGCAGTACCGTAACCGGAAAAGCATGCATTTTTAACGACGCAACATTCCGCTGTTCACGGGCTACTTGTTCTTCGGTAACTGCATGTTCGTTGGCGTTAAGTCGACGAAGTTGAACGGCGCAGGAAGAAAGTTTTCCACGTTATCGCGATGAGAAAAAAAAATCGAGACACCGGTTGAAACGTATCGTCGAGGAAACGCTCGAGAATCCGTCTTCCACGAGCCAAACGAACGGGATGATGCAATCGCATAAAATTGGTATTTTACAATAGACACGGTCCCGTCTCTGTTTAGATGTTCCGCCCGTGAGAAATGGCCGCGCGCTGGGAATTTCAGAAGGTCGGGGTAGCTGCAGATTGTAAAACGTCCGAGCGTACACGCGCGTGGTAATTTCGTCGACGATGTTAATCTGTTCCAGATGACGATCGTAAGCGGGATTCGATGCGTATATTTAAATTTATTGCGTTTCCCTCTCGTTTCTAGCAGATCCACTTTGTAGTCTTTCCGTCAACCTTGAACACCCAGAACCGTCGAATTCGTTCGAAATCAATGTCACGGCCAATGACGCAGAGGGAAACGTCTTTATCGATGTCCGCCAGTCGAAAATAATCTTTCGGGGGCGGCGAGTGTATTTCGCGAACACAAATAAAAAACATTTTAACCCTTATCACTCCAACCAGAATTTTGTAAGGTTATGATTACTGAAATCCAGCGTATAGTACAAATCGTACCTGCGAAAATATCTGCCGCCATTTTCAAATAAAATAAAATATTTTCTAACGGTTTTTTTTGTGAAATATAAATTTTAAAAAACGTGAAAAAATGAAGGAAGAAATAGACAGTAGTGATGATGAATTTTATATTGAAAATGGTGGAAAAAATTATTTTTTTGTGATTATATTACAGAATTATCGCTATTCTTGCCAAAATGAAATTTTCACTTGAAATAATTATCTAAGTTTAATCGTTTCTGTCGACAAAACAGAAACGACTTTCTATAAGTATGCATTTTAGAAATTACTGCAATTTTTTTATGAGACACAAGGCAGTTTTCGTTTGAAACAACCAAGTCTAAATATTGTTTCAGGCAATCAGAATAGACTACAGGAAACGAGACTCGAGTAAGGTAGCTATTTCTTTCTGTTGGTGTTTTAGAACAAAAATACATTTGGCAATGTCGGGAGGTAATTTATTTAGTTCTACGTTTCGGCACCACTCTTCGAGTTCGATAAATTATCTTCAGCTATTGGCATATTTATTTTTACCCTGAAATATCAACTACAAAGGAAGCGCTACCTTCTGTAACGTCTCGTGACATTTTTAGTCTCGTCAAGCATCATTTTATAGAACTGAAAATATATCTATCACAATAAATTAAATGGAACGGAGGCCAGAATATAATAGCTATTACTTTCTATTTACTTATACCGTCTTATCGTCTCTAAAAATAATTAAACGATTACTCTAATTATAATGATAACTGTTAAGAACATTATTTATGTGTTTTTACCAGCATTTACGTGATCCATCTTTCGTATAGCAGAAACTTACAAAGCGATGAGATTGTGTCTCAGAAAATTTCCATAAATAAAAAGCTTCTGCAGTTACGATCGGGTACAGAGGACAGTGCGATGTTGGTCACGGCGAGGTGACGACAGGCAGGTTTAATTAACCGCCGTCGAAGAATGATTTACATCGCGTAATTTAGTGCACGATGAACGCCACGCGTGGTTGGAAGCGGAGGCGCGATTACTTTTACGATTCCTCTGGTAATTACCGCTTGGCGTGGGCTGTCGGCCAAATAATCGCGAGTCGGGAGAGGCCATTAGCATCATCGTCGCCGGGGCAGAAACGCTCGCGTGCTCCTGAAACGGATCAGAATTAGAATGAGATATTTGACACGGGAAAACATGAGAACGGTCACCCAAAGCGCAAGGATTCGTCGCGCTCGAGGACGAAGATAGGATTATCCGAATAGTTTACTGGTTGGATATTTTACAACCAGTGGCGTAGCTAAAGTCTGGGCGCAGTGATTCACAGCGAAGATTTCTCAACAATTCTTTCCAATGAAAATAAATAAAACATTTTTTTTCGTTACAGTGAAGCAATAAATCTACCCCCCAGCTATACACTGTTGACAAATATTTTAATGTTGAGAATCTTTTTTAAATTGATCATAAATTGTATATAAAGATTGTTTGTTATCTTTTGAAACGCCTTATTCGAAATCCCCCCCTAAGATATGGATTTGTTTCAACTTTAGAACGATGAAAGATAATTTAATGCGGCCTGCTGTGAAGACTAACCTACATAGTCTTGCCATAAATTCTGTTAGTAAAATTCAAAACAACAGTCGGTAAATTTAAACGTGTAAAACTGGCAACATAGTCGTTGTAGGACCGCTAGCTCGTAGAACTGTAAACTGCAGATAAACAATGCTCCGTTGCGAACAATTGATACCTGGAAAACAATGAAACGAAACATTTATGAGAATCGAATCGCTGTAATACCGTTGTTATTACTACTGTTATTGAAAATTATATACCTGATTCTCGATTTGGATTCGCATCTGGATCTGTAATTAATTTCGAAAATTTAACAGCTTCAAATTTGGGAAATGAAAATATTTGCATTAAAGGAAAGAAGAGTAGAAAATCAGTTGAAAAAATAAGAAGAGCATGACGAGTATAGCTGGTGGAGATTTGAGAACAGACGCGTATAAAAAAAAAGTTAGTTTGAAATAAAAAGAGATGATTCACGACGAAGGTTTTAGCCGCGTGTTTAAAAGAGAAAATATTCGAAGACAGGCATGAAGAAAAGAATTCAAGTTCGGGGGAGTTCTATAAAAGAAAAGCAATCATAAAAATTGACATTGACTTCAAAATTCGAGGTAACATTTTTTTTAGATGTTATACAGGGTTATAGAGGCTGGGAAAAATTTTGATGGGAGATTCTAGAGGCCAAAATAAGACGAAAATCAAGAATACCAATTTGTTGATGAAGGCATTGTTAAAAAGTTATTAATGTTTACAGTTCCACCAGTACTGAATTTTTTTCTCGAAAATGCGCAGAATTTCGAGGGTATGTGTAATGACCAAAAATGATTGTAAATGACCCCCGCAACCGAAAATAATTTTTCCAGAACGATTTGAAATTTTTTAATTTTGTCGAAAAATTTGTCCATCTACTCGAATTTTTTTCTCGAAAATGCGTAAAATTTCGAGGGTATGTGTAATGACCAAAAATGATTGTAAATGACCCCCGCAACCGAAAATAATTTTTCCAGAACGATTTGAAATTTTGTAATTTTGTCGAAAAATTTGTCCATCTACTCGAATTTTTTTCTCGAAAATGCGCAGGATTACGAGGGTATGTGTAATGACCAAAAATGATTGTAAATGACCCCCGCAACCGAAAATAATTTTTCCAGAACGATTTGAAATTTTTTAATTTTGTCGAAAAATTTGTCCATCTACTCGAATTTTTTTCTCGAAAATGCGCAGGATTTCGAGGATATACCTGTTCATCAAAAATGATTGTAATTGTCCTCCGCAACCGAAAATAATTTTTCCAGAACGTTTTGAAATTTTTTAATTTTGTCGAAAAATTTGTTCATCTACTCAAATTTTTTTCTCGAAAATGCGCAGGATTTCGGGGGTATGTCTATTCACCAAAAATTAGTGTAATTGACCCCCGCAACTGCAAATAATTTTTCCAAAACGATTTGAGAAATTTTTTTTCCGTCGAAAAATTTCACACCTTATCCAATTTTTTTCTAGAAAGTGCGTAGGATTTCGAGGATATACCTGTTCATAAAAAATGATTGTAATTGTCCTCCGTAACCGAATATAATTTTTTCAGAATGATTTGATATTTTTTAATTTTATCGAAAAATTTGTCCATCTACTCGAATTTTTTTCTCGGAAATGCGTAGGATTTCGAGGGTATGTGTAATGACCAAAAATGATTGTAATTGACCCCCGCAACCGAAAATAATTTTTCCAGAACGATTTGAAATTTTTCAATTTTGTCGAAAAATTTGTCCATCTACTCGAATTTTTTTCTCGAAAGTGCGTAGGATTTCGGGATTATGTCTATTCATCAAAAATGATTGTAATTGACCCCCACAACCGAAAATAATTTTTCCAGAACGATTTGAAATTTTTCAATTTAATTGTTAATAACTTTTTAATGAAGCCTCAGTCAAGAACTCGATATTCTTGATTTTCGTCTTATTTTGGCCTCTAGAATCTTCCATTAAAATTTTCCCCAGGGTTTGCTAAACACCCTGTATTAACCTCGCAGGGAATAACAGGCACGCTTGACGAGGATTTGCAAGGCCAGGCCGTGGAAATAATTGCCCACGACCGAAGATAGTCGACCAAGAAACTGTACTTGAAAGTTGTGCCTCGGTCGAGAACGCCTTGGCTTTGATTTAATTACGCCATTCTCACGAACCGACGTGCTGATTTACATGTCCAATTAACCGTAACGACGCGCGAAACACGACCGTCGACAGAACGGATTCGTAAGAGTTTTAAATACCTCGAAAATTTTTAACGGGAACAACCTGAAAATATATTCAATTTCTGACCCCGGAATGTTCTGCAACGAATATATCGTAATCTACCAATTTACTAAGTCACGGTTAAATCGATGCACCGAAAGTCTTGCGTTCTCCTTGTAAGGCTGATCAAGACTTTTCAGACTCATTCGGAGTTGAATAATATTGTCTTGAGTCCATCGTCAATCAAGACTTTTCAGACCATTCAGAGTTTAATAATATTGTCTTGAGAATATCGTAATCTACCAATTTACTAAGCCACGGTTAAATCGATGTACTTTTCAAGACCAATCAAGACTTTTCAGACTCACTCAGAGTTGAATAATATTGTCTTGAGTCCATCGTCAATCAAGACTTTTCAGACCATTCAGAGTTTAATAATATTGTCTTGAGAATATCGTAATCTACCAATTTACTAAGTCACGGTTAAATCGATGTACTTTTCAAGACCAATCAAGACCTTTCGGACCATTCAGAGTTTAATAATATTGTCTCGAGTCCATCGTCAAATGTATCGCGAAACAAAGATAAAGGTCTCACGCTGACCGTTGAGATTGTCGAAGATGAATGAAAAAAATAAATTAAGACTGCTATGAAGACGAAGATACCGTGCAATGAAAGCCGGCGAAAGCGAATCGCTTTCGGTCGAGTTCGGTGACTGTGTCACGGTGACACCGTCGCCACCTGAGGCCCTCCTTCTCTCTGTGTCGCGAGCAACATCGGTGTCCTTCCGCCAGGGGGGGCACTCTAAACTTAGCCGACGACTCGAGGAGGCTCGAGCGGAGTTCAGTGCGAAACCACCATCCTCTCGAGCCACTTTCTCCGTCTCGATTCTTGCGCGGTCCTTCCGTCTTTCCTCTCGCAGATCCGAGGCAACAGCCCGCGAGGGAACGGTGCTTCGTTCGTCTCTCCGTCGCGGTCCATTTCGTCCGGCGAAAAAAAATATAAAAAAAAACCTAAAAAGAAAGGAAGCAACGAACAAAATAGAGATCACGGAGGAGGGAGAGCTGCTGTCGGCGCAAAGATACCGCGGAGGATGGCGTACAGCTGGAACAATCGAGTCGATTTCATTGTAAGGTTTCTCTACGGTTAGTACGCGGCAATTACTCGATGCAAAGCACGCGTGTGATGCTGCTTTTAAGGACCCCACGTGCCTGTATGTAGCCAGGGCCCCGTTGCACGGATAATGTTATTGTCGCTGTACCGAGTCACGGGCATGACGTGAGTATTATTGCATTAGCCGAATACAAATCCCGACGGAACGCCTCGACCCGATGTACATGCGAAGTACCCCCGTTGGATCTGCACGTTCGTGCTTAAAATTCCACCCTTTGATCCCCGTCGTTCGTATCGATTTCTCGTCCTTGCTGAAAATCGAAGTGTGCACGTGCTAACCCAGTTGCTGTGTATAACTAAACGAGAAAAACAAATATGTGTCGTTGTTACCCGCATTGCGTGAACCGGAGTAACGGAAAACGGTTCTCTTGGCTTCGAGAGTGTCATGCTTGTTTAGGATTTAGGTTGACTTCGAGAAGCATGCCACGCATTGTCGTCGCACCGTCTGCAATCGGCCGATGCCAAATTTAAGCTTGGCTCGAATTTGTTTTATGGGCCATTCTGTCCCGGCCTGCATTTTTCATCGTTACGTGTCCCACAACGCGCGACGACACCGCTTTTGTCGCGATAAATCATACGAATCCGCGCACTTTCGTAACACCGGACGATCAAGTAAAAACGTGATCCCGTAAAAGAACAGGTTCGAACAACGCGAGACCGTGTTGACGTTCGAACCTCGAAGTCTGTCTCCGGGAATCGATAATATCAATAATCGTTTGCAATCGATGTCGATATTATCGATAAGTACTCGGGAATCAATCTGAACGCTATCGATAGGTAATCTCCGATCGACAATTTTAGATACATCGAACGGGATCCGTGGTTCGAATTGGATTGATGTCCGAGGGTCGTGTAGGTACATACTTGCAATAGTGACGAGTGCCGACCTCTGCCAAAATGTGAAATATTTGGAGCATGTCCAGATGTGCAATGACAAAAATCTCCTTAGACATAAATTGGCACGAACCGATCGATTAATTGCCCGACCCAATTACACGCATTGCGTGAATTCTAACAAAACAGACCCAATTAACGATGGACGCTTCGATGACACTTTACCATATTTAGATACGGACAACAATGGAATGGTGGAGAGACACGATTTCGAATGCATGGCGCTGAAGATGACTTTGATCGAAGGAAAGGGGGAGTTTAGCTACAGTCGATACCAAGAGAATCTGCACATCATGCTCTCATTATGGGATGAAATCGCGGAGCTCGCGGATTTCAACAAGGTGAAGCTCTGCTCGTGATTGATTCTATATAGGTTAGACCTGTTTACATTTTACATTTCACGTTCAGGACGGTATTGTGACCATCGAGGAGTTTAAGGACGCGGTACAGAGAAGCTGTGTCGGACGAGAGTATCGAGACTTCCCTCAGGCGATGAAGATGTTCATCGACAGTCATTTTAAGCTAGTCGATCTAAACGGTACGCAAAATGATTATCGAAAAAATTACCATAGCAAATATTTGGATTTTTATTCCACTGTCGGAAGAGTCAGTACCTTGTTATTATGATTTTCAGACGACGGTGTGATCGCTGCCGACGAATTTCGCTATAATTGCGTGACAAGGATTCCCGTAGACAATATACACATTCTAGACGAAGCCTACCAAAGCCTTCTCAACGTAAGATCAAGCAACGCATGAATTTATACCCTCTCCCCCCTTCCCGAACCATTTACCGATAGAATGCATAATTTTTCAATAAAACGAATAATTTTGTGTCGTCAAATTTCTGAATCGTATCCATGCCGTGACAGGACTACGTATATCCTTCGAACAGCTTCTCGAATGATAAACAAACAGTAAATGAGAACAGCAAACAAATGAAATCGCGAACGTAACCTAACTAAATCTGACTTCGACGCGAATGAACAATGGTTTGATAGGGTGCCAAGTTTCGTGACCGTGTTTTACGCCCGGCTGTCGGTAGAAACATACACTCGCCACTAAAAACGTTAGCTGATCGTGCTGACATTCAACTGCACGATTTTAATATAAACCAAAAACGCGTAATTCCCAGTGTTTACGCGAAATCTAAGAACCTAACGGCTGTGTTGTGCAACGATGCCAACGAGATCGTATTGTTCGCGCATGCGCGACCAGAAGTGGAAATACGAGCAATTAACGTTACGAGTGTGAGGTATATCAGGCCCACGACCAAAGAACAACTTACAACAGTCCTTTCCAGAGCGTTTTCTCATCTTCTTTGTTTATTACGCTATCGTCGATAAAGCTGTTTACGAAGTCCTGGTTCCTCCATTAATTGCACTGCTCAACACGAATCTGAAAGCAGAATTATTTCATACACAATCTTTTTGTACTTGAATGCAGTCTAGTTACTTTTGTAATTAGTAGATATCTCCTCCGTCTCTCATCGCTTTGTTTTGATTGTTCTCTTCGCAGGACGACGACAGGAGACGCGGCGGACTGACTTTATCGCGTTATCAGGAATTATACGCGCAATTCCTCGGTAATCCGGACGAAAATTGCCAAGCGGTTCACTTGTTCGGGCCCCTGCACGCAATGGATTGATCGCAGCATCGAGGGAACGTTCCTCGCGTGCATGTACAAAAAGACATATCTAACTCTGTTTAATTATAATTGTTATTTAATTTCTGTAAGAAGACGACGCAATAAATCGCATATTTTATCGTAAACCAAGCATCGAATGGTCTTTCCACGTTCTTGGTACCCTTTCTCACGAGTCGACGGAAGCCTACTCGCTTGCAAAAGGATTTTGATGGAACAGGACTTCGCTCGTTTGGCACGACCGCTTACGAACAAGTGTTTGGCAGCCAGCGTTTTGCCAACATTATACATATTGTAAATACATATTTACACGGTTATTACCGTCGCGCCAACTTGTAAATAACGATGTGAAAAGATATGCAAGACGTTTATATTGTACAAACAGAAAAAGTTTTATTCGTATTACGTGTTTAACACGGTTACGCGTTGTTCGGACACCTCTTTGGTAGTAACGCCGTGCTCTGCTCGTCTCGAGAATTTAATACTGAAATTTATACAATGATATGCTGCAGTCTATAACATCGTTGCACTTGTATACATACGCGAATGAATTCGGTCATAATTGTACATGCTCATCGGCTTTTATTTAACGTTCAAGGTACTTTTTACCATTTGTACATATAGAACATGCTCGATCGCTTGAACGCTAGACTCGTACACGTAATGGTTTCACCCTACGAGATCTACAAACACTCATGGAGTACAGACGAGTTCCGTTTTTTTTTTCTCATCCATTGCACGCAGCATAACAACAATCTCATACATATCGTCTAATAATTTTAACTAGCGAGGTTCATTGTTAACGTCGCGGTAACGTAGCTTTTTTTTCTGCCGTCAGTATAAAAATCGTTCTTCGTATATAAATAATTTTACAAAAAAACGCACGAGTCTGGAACACTCGCGATAGGAAATGTCCACGCGATTGTAGATGAGACAGGCGTTTCCGGTCACTCTTTACCGTCGAATTTCGTAACAAAACAAAAACAAGGAAAATACTGTTAATAATTAATTGCGGACACCGAGCAGAAGCGCCACACTTCTTACAATACATTTTATACCGATAAAGCACGCAATGGAACTGTCAACCATTTCTACATCTTTCAAGTTTCAGCAATTGGGCTAACTAGCTTTCTATTTTCTCGTTAAACGACATAGGATAATTAATGATGTTTTTAACAGATTGTGAAAATAAAATGTAAGAAAACCAAGTAGCAACATTATCTTATTTAAAAATGATAATCCATTTTAGCTATCATTTTGAATACTTGAGTAGTTATTGCAACTTGGTTAATATTCCACTCCAAGTCCAGTAAAACTATGACAATAGGAATAAAAAACCATTTAGAAATCTATTAGATCGAGGAATTGAAAAAAAAAAATTTCACATTTTTGTTTCGATGTAGAAATATATTCCTTGAAAATATTACCAATGTCGATCTCGTACATTCGGAACATTGTCATTTATATATCATGGAAAAATAAAACGCGAGGCAAAATACTATACAGAGTATACAGCCAATACTGGGAAAAATTTTAATGGGAGATTTAGGGGCCAAAATAAGACGAAAATCAGGAATACCAATTTGTTGATGGAGGCTTCGTTAAAAAGTTAACAATTAAATTCAAATTTTTCAAATCGTTATGGATAAATTATTTTCGGTTGCGGGATTAAATTACAATCGTTTTTGGTGGATATACATACCCCCGAAATCTTGCGCATTTGCGAGAAAAAAATTCGAGAAGGTGTGAAATTTTTCGGTGGAAAAAAAAAATTTCAAATCGTTTTGGAAAAATTGTTTTCGGTTGCGGGGGTCAATTATAATCATTTTTTGTGGATAGACATAAACTCGAATTCCTATCCACTTTCTAGACAAAAATTCGAGAAGGTGTGAAATTTTTCGGTGGAAAAAAAAAATTTCAAATCGTTTTGGAAAAATTGTTTTCGGTTGCGGGGTTCAATTAGAATCATTTTTGGTCGATAGACATACCCCCAAAATCTTGCGTATTTGCGAGAAAAAAATTCGAGGTGTGAAATTTTTTGACGGGGAAAAAAAATTTCAAATCGTTTTGGAAAAATTATTTTCGGTTGCGGGGGTCAATTATAATCATTTTTGGTGAACAGACATACCCCCGAAATCTTGCGCATTTTTTAAAAAAAAATTCAATACGGGCGGAACTTTAAACGTTAATAACTTTTTAACAAAGTCTCCATCAAAAAATTGGTATTCTTGATTTTTGTCTTATTTTGGCCTTTAGAATCTCCCAATAAAATTTTTCCCAGGGGTGCCATAACACCGTGCATAACCGATATGAATGCCACGTAATTGAACTAGTTGATCGTAAGTAGTATCGCGCTTACTAATGCTTTTCGTAGAACGTAAATTTAAAATCATTCGTATTCCTTTTCTATTCTTTACCACGACTAAGGACGGTTAATACTCGTTTGGACAAAATTCCAAATTTACGTTACGCAATGACATCAATGTTACATTTCAAATAAATATGTCGAAATGGTAATGTTACATTTAAATTTCTCGTATTATAATAGATATAATTCTCACGAATAAACGATAACGTTTTTTTTATATTACTGACGCGTCATTTCATGACGCATAAATTATGCCTCACCGATATCGGAAACTGAATGTACCCAGGCGATGACGGAAAAAAAAAAAAAAAAATGCACGCGCGTCGATAAAGCACGACAAAAATGCAGATAACATTTGCCGTTTGCCAAGCAACATACATTTACCCATTTCCCACTATAAAAAGAATACCGGGAAAACGAACCAAATACTCGTTAGAACTAAATTATCGTTTCTTGGTAATATCGATCGTTACGATCGATCGTACCTTCTTAAAAATTACGTGAATACAATCGTAAAGCTTCAACGGTAATGTTAAATTAAGAGGCTGTTCTTCCACAAATGAATATCCTAAATAAAACGCAATCTTACGATACTCGTAGCAATATTAATAATATAAGAAATTATTTTTCTTCCTACTTACAAAAACAAATACACAGACATGAACTTCACACTGTTTGCATCGAACACGGCATTTCCCTGGTCGATTCGTTTAACCTATTTTTGTTTGTTATTTTTTTTTTTTTGAAAAAGAATTTTGTTTGTCGAAGGTGGGAACAATGATGTGTAGTATTCGACAAAGTTATTTTCAGTCTTTCTAAATACAAAATGTTCACGTATCATTCTGATAATTAATGCTAGAAGGTCATATATCGAGGCGTCGTATCCGTGGAGTTCACACTGGCGTAGGAAGTGGTTGGGTGCTGATTGTTGTCGTTTTGGAGTAGAGGAGAGTCTGGCCCGCGTTCTTCGCTCCTGAATTCGTTTCTAGCCCTGCTGGCACAGTGGCGGGCTCTTCTGCGCCCACGGCGCGACATCACGCCTACAAATAGGAATAAAAAAAAAAGTATGTCTCATTGCACGCGTTTTGCGTTCACCACGACTTTCATAAGAAAACTGTAAATCAACTATACATACAAGGCGCCGTTAGTATTACTACGTACAGCCAAATAATAAAATGTGAATGATATAACCAAAAGTGCTTAAAGAGAACAAACAATACAGATGGCGCGTTAAAAAAAAAGGAGAAGGGTGCGAGTTAATTCTATCGACGGTGGCGCAACATTTTTTCCATATCCCTTTTTTTAACTCTACGAATAGCAGTAAATATATACAATACATAGACAGCTTCGTAATTTACGTTTACACGATTACGTACATGAAAATAGAATTGGCGACAAGCTGATACGCGATATACTCGACTAACCACAAGAGCACGCACGGAAACCACAAAATAGAAAGGAAAAGTTTCACGGCCATTTTACTAACGTGTTGAAACAACGAAAGAAGAAGTACAAAAATTAATGTTAACAGAGAAACGTGTTTTTACGAGAATGAATATTCCATCCCACACTCATCACAAACGCACATACAGGCAGCTCCGTCTTAGTGTGCAAACTTTTACGTTCAAGGTGGTACAAAAAGCTGGTACGGAAGAAAGCTGAAGATACTTGTTCATATAAATACAGATACCTGTACTGGAGTTCGGTAAATGTGATGTGAGGAAGTTCCACCGGGTGTATATTGAAAGTATTTACAAACGCTCGTGTAAATTACAAGACTAGGTACTTCGATCGATCGACTTTCGATTCGATCCATTTACGTGTCAAGCAATGTCAAGTGTTCGAAAGCAAAAGTAGTAGAGGTATAATTGTCACAAACCACGAAACAAAAAATAGAGACAGAGATAGAGAGAGTGTAGAAAATTGTGGACATCCTGCGTACCTATCTTTCGTATTCAAGCACTCTGAATGTAGGTGTGCTTGTCATGGGTGTGGGAGGGGAATTGTATTTGCTTACACGATGATTCAAGGAAGTCTCCTGTACGTTGTCCAGATTTCCCTGTATCGTTCTCTTGTGATTCGCCAGTTTCTCTCTGTTCATTGGTGTGCCTAAAACCACGACGAGTCGTGACGAAATTCGTTTAAATTGTTACTGTAGTCTGTTTGTCTTGTACCCGTTTGAAAACAAAATTATACTTCGTCCAGTAATACGCAACACCCGGGTGAACAAAACTACGCGACTGTGACAACATTTTATTGGTCCAATGTACAGTGAATTGAAATATGAAAAGATTCAACAAATGATTAAAAAAAAAAAAGATGTTGCGAATTTTTAAGCAATTCTTCCATTAAAGAATTATAATTATTATAGATAGATGATAACTTGTATAACTTTGTATTATATCTGTATCTATTCGAGATACAATCCTTCGTCGTTTCAGTCCCGTAACAAACACGTAATTTTCTTTACTCGGATGTGGAGTCTTACTGATTGAAGTATATTACAAGAAGGTGATTACAATTTGACGACAAATTTTTGCGATGGTACATAAACAAAAGCGAAAGACAAGTGACTTAATGTTTTGCCTGCAAAATACAACTTTCTTGCACGTTAATTATTACGATATACAGGGATATGAAAATCAAATTCATTTGTTACAGTAAAATCTCGATTCAACGTAATGCAATCCCCAGGGAAATTTTAATGGGGGATTCTAGAGACCAAAATAAGACGAAAATCAAGAATATCAATTTGTTGATTTATTCTTCGTTAAAAAGTTATTAACATTTAAAGTTCCGGCCATTCTGAATTTTTTTCTCGAAAATGCGCAGGATTTCGAGGGTATGTCTATCCACCAAAAATGATTGTAATTGAATCCCGCAATTGAAAATAATTTTTTTTCCCCGTCGAAAAATTTCACACCTCGAATTATTTTCTCGAAAGTAGGTAGGATTTCGGGGATATGTCTAGTCACCAAAAATGATTGTAATCGATCCCAGTAATTGAAAATAATTTTGTCGATTTTTCTTAAAAATTCGTTTTTCATTTTTAATCAATTTGTTTGACGTCCTACGGAAATTTTGTTTAGTTCTTTTTTATAGGTAGCCATGAGCTCTACTTCCATACTAAATTTCATTGTGATACGTTTACTATTGTAGAAGTTATGGACGTTTGAAGATGGGGCCATTTTTATGGGGTTTTTCTCATTTTACGGGGTTAAAAAGCAACTTTTCGAATATTCTTTGAATGTCTACATATTCTATACCAAAATACGCGTTGTTTGCATTTTTGAATTTTGAAATCCTCCAATCCGTTCAGAAGTTATGGTATTTTAAACAATTTTCATGAAATTTCGAGGAAGCATTTCTGGCCAGAAATGATATTTTCGGTAATGAATTTTTTTCTAGAAAGTGGATAGGATATTGGGGGTATGTCTAATGACCAAAAATGGTTATAATTGACCCCTGCAACTAAAAATAATTTTTTTAGAACGATTTGACATTTCTTAATTTTGTCAAAAATTTTCACACTTACTCGAATTTTTATCTCAAAAGTGGGTAGGATTTTGGGGGTATGTCTATTCACCAAAAATAATTGTAATTGACCCCCGCAACCGAAAATAATTTTTCCAGAACGATCTGAAATTTTTTTTTTCGTCGAAAAATTTTGGGCAATTAGATTTTTGGTTAATTTTTTTCTCGAAAGTGCGTAGGATTTTGAGGGTACGTGTAATGACCAAAAATGATTGTAATTGACCCCCGAAAACGAAAATAATTTTTTTAGAACGATTTGGAAAATTTTTTTTTCGCCGAAAAATTTCACACCTCGAATTTTTTTCTCGAAAGTGGGTAGGATTTCGAGGGTATGTATATCCACCAAAAATAATTATAATTGACCCCCGCAACTGAAAATAATTTTTCCAGAACGATTTGCAATTTTTAATTTAATTGTTAATAACTTTTTAACGAAGCCTCAGCCAAGAAATTAATAGTCTTGATTTTCGTCCTATTTTGACGAAAAGTATAACTTGGAAATGTTCCGACATAAAACTGTAGAGTTTTTGTCCGTTAAATCAAGAGTTTACTGTGTTATATTGCTCAATAAGTAGTGTTTCTTAAATAAAGAAATCGATAAAATCACAGATTAATAGAGTATGATTTGCATAAGGATCTACCATTTGCGAAGTTTGTGTAAGAAAATATAAATTACGAAGGAGAATTCTTACCTATGTAACTGAGTAATACTGGCAAGAATATTAAGCCATGCGCCGCCCCGAACAGTACAATACCCAGATACATTCTGAAGTAGAATACCTGAAAGCGTGTTCGACATGAGCAACTTAGGAAAACAATAAAAAGAATATGTATATGAACGTGGACGCAGAAAAATTTGTTTAAAACGCACCTGAAAGATCTGACTTTTTGCAAAGCCAAGTACTATGATACCACCGAACTTCGTAAGCGTGATACCGCTAAAAATGGAACTCCCCATGTTCGTCAGTGCGTCAGAAACTCGTTCGACCCTCGTCGCCTTTACCGATACCGAGAAGGAATGTACCAGATGGCTACAAAATTCCACGGCAATTCCTACGGCCTGTATATAAACAATTATTAATTCTGTCGATATTTCACGCTGAGAATATTCAAGTTTTCATGTGCTCACCATGACAAGATTGACCAAAGACACTGCGTTTAGCGTAATATGCCACCAATACATTAAACCACCAATGTTGACGACGATCATCGTGATGGTTATTATAACGACAACAGAAGAAAATATATCCAGGCCCATCAAGAAGAAGGTTACCACGAATATAGCGAACAACGATATTCCTATGCTATACAACGTGTCGGGCCACATCGTTAAGTACTGTTCGTAGAAGACGTAGAACACGCTGTACGGGAATACTTCGACAGTTGTTGAAGTGTCACCCATGTTTCTTAAGTTGGTATTGATCATATCTGTCAAGTTTGCCGACACGGTCCTTGCCGCTCTCATGGATTCGTAATAATCGGCGGAGGATTTCAGAATGGTGTGATAAGCCATGAAGTAGGATGCTCCGACTTTCGAGAGCTCTGTCTTTGGATCGGTAACGTAGTTCACGCCGTGGCCGTAAGCCGCGTGGCCTGCTTTGGCGCACGTATCGTCGGGATTGTCTTGCAAGAAAAACGACACGTATCTCTCAAAATCCATTGGCGATGGCCGACCATGGTTTCTGGTAATATTACACTTGGCGCAACGAGACGAATATTCTGAAAACAATAACAGAAGCAGCTTAATTGATTTGTTTAGTTAAATGTCGAAACACAAATGTCGGAGTAATTTCGTTCGTAAAGTGTCGCCAAACTGTTATCGCAAAAACACATATTTGTACCTGAATGTGGACAGAAGGAATTGTTTCCGACAAAGTATTTACAGCAAGTAGATAACTCCGTCCAATCCATGTAATCGTCCAACCACGACGACGCAGGTTTCGCAATGTATGTCCTACATAAAAAATAACGTTAGCTCAAATACTTTTTGTACAATTCAATGGAACCGAAAATGTGTTAACATTTTCGTTACCTGTTCGACTGTTGCGATGCTATAAATATTTGAGTAGATACCGAGTCGCTGTTACAATACTGACCGCCGCATACGAGATTCTGCGCATTCGTGTCCGAGTAATTTAGGCCGTCTTTCACGACAAAGTACATTGGTGGTCCAATTGATAAATATCTGTTTAAAAACTACAAAAGAAAAGTATAGATCGTTACGATCAGTTATTCGTTTGTACTTTCTTATCGATAAAATATCGATACTCACTTTAAAGTATTTTAAAACAAAACTATCTTCGGGCATGGAAAGTTCTTGATCCAAGCCAATTTCGATATGAGGAACAACGGCTATGCTCGAGCACAGCCATCCGAAAAAGACTAGCATGACAAGTGCGCGTGTCCATTTTTTTAGCAACAATGGAACGTATGCGACTTTAAAGATTTTGTACAAAATCCCGTTCACTATTTCCTCCCCGCTATCTTTCTTCGAACCATGAACGAAACAACACACGTCCAGTCTATTGTTCTAAAATAACACACAATCGATCACAATAAGGCAATTCGTTTTACAGAGTTATATGTTTAATTTTATTCGTTGAACTACTTACTACTTGTCGTACGGTGTCCAACGCCAGTAAGCTGACGAAACACGTTACTTGCAGTAGAAAGTCTACTAACAGAGCCATACCGGCGTAAAGAGCAAAAGCTCTGACTGCTGGCATGTCGGATAATCCACCTACAAAGACAAAGCATTTACGAAAGTCATAATAGCGCTGCAATTAATTTTTTACGATTGTATTTATTTAAAAATAAAATTAACACTAGAACTACCCGCAATTATAGTTTGTCTATTTGTACCAAAGAAATTGAAACGATAGACACGTGAAGAAATATATAATGCAATGGAAAAAAGTGTTTATACATTCTCTTATAGAAAATTACGATAAATTTTCAAAAATTCAGTCGAGTGAGGGGGTCAAATGTGCCCCCAGACCGAATTGAACGAACGATGGGTCATTCGATAGTTTATCCAAAAAGAACCCTGCATGCCAATTTTTAACTTGAAATCTCGACCGTGGGGGTAGTAATGGGGTGAAAACGAAAATCATGTTTTTGTACTATTTCTCTTGACCTATTGAGTAAAAAAATGTGAAAAAATTCAGACATTTCGGGTACCGGGGCACATATTTTAGGAGATTTTCAGAATAATAGTAATAGCAATACCTATTTACTGTAAAAGTCCTTCAATACGTAATCGACATTTTTCGGCATTTTTTACTATCTTGTTCTTCAATCTAAAAATCTGAAAATCTCCTAAAATATGTGCCCCGGTACCCGAAATATCTCTGAATTTAAAAAAATTTTTTTACCCAATAGGTCAAGAGAAATTGTACAAAAAACATGATTTTCGTTTTCACCCCATTACTACCCCCACGGTCGAGATTTCAAGTTAAAAATTGGCATGCAGGGTTCTTTTTGGATAAGCTATCGAATGACCTATCGTTCGTTCAATTCGGTTTGGGGGCACATTTGACCCCCTTTTTTACAAGTTTTATTAAAAATTACGAATGGGTCATTTTGACTGATTTGGTAGTTCTACTGTTAAAATTAACACGTGCAAATTGAAAGTTCAAATTAAATAAAAAAATAATCATTGCAAACGTATGATTATTTAGAATAATAAACGTTAGAAATATTTATTATATAAGTGTGTTTGTATTAATTATTCTCGTGACTAATTTCATGTGATTAATTCGTGTCACCTACCAAGGAAAAAGCAACAACTTTCCGATACACTGGTCAGCAACATGCTCGGCCCCACTTGGCCAAGGGTACGACCGATATGCTCCGGTATCGACTCGTTTGGTCTGCGACCTTCTCTTTGATGTGTTTGTACCAGAATGAAAATGTTGTCTACTCCGACGGCAAGGACGAGGAACGGTATGACTTCAATAATAATGAGCGTAGCGGGAACACCGATGAAACCAAACAAACCGACGGAACAAACGACAGAAGCCAGCACTATGAGCACACCGCCAAGACCGAGGGTAATTTTAGAGTCGATCTAAAATTGAAGTCGATATGTAAACATAAAATACACGTTAGACGAAGAAAAGGAAGATAGCGCAAACGGACTTAATGTATTTAAAATTCATGCTCCCTACGATCCTTACCAAAAGTCGACTGCAAGTCTTGATCTGTCCCAGAGAAATCGCAATATACGCGAACATAATGATGTATGACACTAGGATAGTCAGAACGTCCGACTGTGACTCGCGATTCAATTCATCCTCTATCGATCTTTCCGAGGTGAACGCAACATCCATAAATGCCGGCTTTTTCGTCGCTGTCCAATTTTTCATAAATTCGATGTAACTAACACCAACAAAAAATATCGAAGTAAAGATTCATTCTTTGATAAAAGTAGAATAAAAATTTTTACAACGGATTCTATTCTTTCTAATTTTTGAACGAACTACACATCTTACACCTACCTCTGTTCCCACTCCATCGCTGGATGAAGTTTGGATTTATCATGATAATTGTTTACTAGTATGGTTAAAATGATTGCTGTGGCTTTTTCGTACGGAGGATTGTGTAGATCCTGCCCTGGCTTTAAGAATCCTCCGACTGCGATCGCTGGTTCTACCGGTCCACCGTAAGGAGCAAGACAATCAGGATTGAACGCGTTTCTATGAACGATAAATATGATAAGGATCGTATTCTCATAGTTTACAAAATCTCTTTGAGCGTAATCGAGTTGCTTACTGCGAACAGACTCTGAAGTGGTCTAAATAGTTTACTGTGTAATTATCTTCATCGCTGGTTGCATTGAAATTCTCTACGCTATCTTGCCAATAACCCCAAATACTTTGAATGACACATTGCGAAACTGTTGGCGGTCCAGTGAAGGGACTGGTCAATGGAGCGAAACATATATTTGCCAAGGTGTAATTGTTCGGGGTAACTATTTGCTTAATTCCTTCTTGCAGTTGATAGATAGTCAGTAAGAAACTGTTGTTAAATACGGGGCCAAATATTATTGGGCCATCTGATGTGTTGTGTACGACCTGAGAGAAGTTTCCATGATTTCAAAAATGTTACGTACTTTCAAACAGCGATAGTTCTATTCCGTATTTGATTTAACTTACATTCGGCATATCAACTGATGTTATAATAATCTGTTCGGTTCTGTAAAATGGTTCGAAGTGTTCGTCGAAGTATGCTCTTTCGACGCGTGATCGCGATTGTGGAGCAGCCCATAATTCAACCGGATCGGTGGTAACGTGTATATATTTTATTCCGTGTCCCAACGTAACGATGAACAAGAAACCAACGAACAGCACGAACCACGGCCGTGATGCGCACGCTGAAAGGAATTTGAAACTTGAGATAAAGTGAAACTGCAGCATCGTGTAATATTATACGAAATGGCGTTTCCATACCTGTGCCCCACCAACAGAAGAATTCTCCCAATAATTTGTCGGTGCCCGCGCCCAATCTTTCGATAAAGGTCGACTGTTGTTCGTCGTCAAAGCCGCTCGGCAAATCATCTGCAGATATCACACCTATAAAAGTTCCCGTGTTATGAACAGTGGAATAATGTATGTATGACCAAAAGGGGTGCTGCAGTAAATGAAATAAATTGTAGAAGTTGTGCTGTAAACAATTACATAAAGCATCTATACATTAACATCGTATAAAAGAGGCATAGTTTAAAAGAATCGTCTTACGCTAAAGAGCTGCAACAAAAATGTCAAAATAGCATATAAGAATTTTACAAGGTTTTATAACAACGATTACGTTTCTACGTGTTTACGAGCACTAAGATTATGTTTGCTTACTGATACGGTAAAGCTTTTAAAAAATAAGTAAAATATGCTTCGTAGTAATCACAGAAATTTGCGTACTCCCATAAAACAATGTAGTATATTAGAAGTGAGAAATATAAAATCAGTTGATTATAAAAAGAACAAAAATGTTAAAAACCTTGAGTTTTTCTGCGCATATTAATCATGAAAACATAAGTTTTTTATAAGTACCACGTATACTTAGAACGAAGTATTTGTAATAGCTCGCGACAATAACTTGATGTATCGCTGATACATTTTGTAAATTAATTTCTTGCATTTCCTTTTAAGATATGTTCACGTAATATATGGTAAACATTCTAAGCGTGTTAATTTCTGAAAATTGAGGAGACCGCATAGTGATAATATACAAATTATTTCACATGCGAGAAATAATATTTAGTTTGGGTAAGCGATCAAGCACAGATAATAGGGGTAAACGAGCACAAGAAAATACAATGATACGAAAAGAAGTAATCAAAGGACAAGCACAAGTCCACATATTGAAGATACAGTTGGTAGGAACCTACTGGAACGCTTAGATTGAAGTGGGCTGTCTTCTTGGTCCGCGGCGAGAGCAATACGAGCACCATCTCCTGGGTGGTGTAACCCTGCGGCTAGGCGTCTACCCACCTGCCTTCCTACCTCCTCCCCTCGTGCGACTATACATATATATGCACACCATACATACAATCGATGATACTAAATTAAATCCTTTTCATCTTATATGTATAATTACATCCGTGATTCGAAACAGGAAAGTATGCACGTTAAAATGTTCAACTGTATTTGAAATTCACTACTGAAACACACTTATTTGTTATTGGAATCATTACTTATAACTGGAACAATGTTAATCTTGTGATAACTTTTATAATCCTACATGATTATTACACAGCGATAATGTGTCATTAATTAAAAGAACAGGAGAATAAACACAAACGTTTATCAAAACCAGATATGGTGCAGGATTTATGAAATTAATTTTTAAACCACAACCAAGGAACAAAAGAGTATAAAAATAACACAATCGTAAAAACCATACTGCAACCATAAAAAATAGGTAAATGGTATAGATTAGAGATCAGAGTAACTTGCACGAACAGTGTCTGTCGTCTTTAAAATTCACGTAAATAATAATTACATAGAAAATTAGTCACCGATGTAAAGTATAAAAGATTATGTGACTTGTCGTGGAATAAAATATTACGCAGTCTCGGGGAGAAAAGGACGCGCCGCGGGTCTGCAACTTTTGCGATACAGTTTCTTTTGGATAAATATTCTGAAATAGTAGTTCAAGTTTCTCACCAATTTGTTGCCTATTACTGAAGCACACTATCGCTAAGAGGAAGAGGGTAGAACCACCCACAAAAATAATTGTCATAGTCACTGCATAGCCATCGTAGCCAAAAATGGTAAAGGCTTCTGGAAGTGGGGGCAGTGGCGGTGGAACTGGACAACTGGCTTCGCAATCTACGCAACTGCAGGCTGGTGTGTTTTTCTGTATTATTTGAAAATAAGAAAAAGTCAAATTACTTTGTTCGCACTTCAGTTTCGACTAATTACGATTAGTTCGCACCAGCAATTAACATATACGTATGAAGAAAATCGTACAACGACCGACCGGCTTAAATATAATTGTGACTTATTAGCATTTTAAATAAGACTTGTCAATCTATTTAGAGAACATGTATTATATATTTACATGCACGTTAAATACTTACGTTCAATGCTTTACTACAAGGGGTAACTGCAGGATCCATAGGTGTAAATGGACCGACAGGCAGATCAGTGTTTTTATATGTAATTTGGAACGGTACGTAATTGTTATTCGCCGCATCGCCCATATAATGGTACCATTTTAATGGGGTACATCTACTCGCGCCCCATTCTCCGCACATTATGTCCATTGCTAATTGTCCGGTACTAGGTACCGATACTTTATTGCAGGAATTAAACGTACCCTCCAGATACTTATTCGTTACATAAACATCTATTTGATTAATATACTCGACGTCTAAGAAACAAACGAGTAAGATTAACTCGATGTAAATAGATGAAAAATGAAAAAGTACACAAATTAATTAACAAATCAAATTACCTCCATTTTTTTTTATCTCTGTGACGTTAATGAATTTGCTTTGTTCTGTGCTGCACGTAAATTCACAGAAATGCTTCACTAAATTGTCTAAGCAGCTAGGGCATCTGCTTATAAAATTGGCCGCCAATTTAACGTTCGCGTCCATTGTTGTTAATTGCTTTGTATCGCAACAAGTTGTAATTCCATTTCCAGAATCTTTAAATAGGTGAGGACAATTTTTAGAAAGTAATTCTTGCCCTATCAAGTCCAATGGCTTAGCTGGCCCATTGTATGGACAATTCTTTTTATGCATGAATGGATCTGTGTAACACTCTCCATACCAAATGCAATGTCCATCTCCTGCTGCAGAAACCTATCATCAAACAACAAAGGATTTTCTTTGGATTAAATTTAATCGAAATTCAGAAATATTTCAAAACATATTTATAATTATATAATAGTTGTAAATATAATTGTTTGTTAAAAAATATTTACATCGTTGTATTAATCGTACAATACTCAAAACTATACCGTATGACTATTCCGTATCAGAATAGTAATAAAACACAAAGGATGTGATATATCTTTCCACTGAATCATTCGATAAGAGGTAGATAGACTAAATGAAGTTATTGCTATAAATTAAATTGCTCAACTTTGACTTCGAGAAGAGTACAAAGGACGAAAGGTCTTTATCATATTTGTTTCGTTGAATTTTGAACAGATTACGTCTTGTTTACTCGTTAAATATTTGATAATAAAAAATAACAATAGAAATAAAAATATTTAAACCGGTTGTATTTTGGATGCAAACAACAATATCTGCGTCTCATTTTGCAATAAATTATTTTTCATTCGAGACTAAGGTCAACGTCGTGTAATTTTGTAACTTTATTACCATATTATCGATTTTCTAATTGTTTTCGACAATTACATAATTTTTCGGGGGTTTCTGCAAGTATTCAATACTTTTACGTTCTTCCAACGATCAATGTAAACAAAGAAGCTTGCCGTCAGCTAAAGATCTTACATATACATATACGTTATACGTAAAATAATCGTAAATGTATTCGCGTGTTCTTTCTTATCAGAAATCAACGTCAATGAATGCCTAAAGAAATTCCCATGGGCCTCGCCCCGACAAAGTGAGCTTAAATAGAAGTCATGTCGGTTAATCTGTCCCTTTAATGGATAAGGCAAAGGTATAATTAAATTTAATAGAGTTCTGTGCTCCGCGCAACGTCGGTGTCGAAGGCGATAGGCTTTCACGAGGATCGGCCGACGTGACGTCAACATGCGAAACATTTGACGAATCCTGGGTGTGGTGTACGTGTGTGCGTCGTGTATGTGTACGTTAAATCAGGTACAACTATATAGATATCACATAAGAACTATAAATAATGCGAAGAAATTACTTACCGCCCCTATAACGCACCAAACACCTAACACAAATATCATCACGTTTACACACGACATTCTAATGCCTGTCAAAGTCCGACTGTGACCTCGAGAAAACACATCAAGCCAATGCATAACGCGTTACACCGAGACGTAACCGAAATCGACCGATTCCTCGTTTCCACCGTAGTTCGATGCTATTGCAAAGAATTCTTGTAGTTATTCATCGCATCCACACATCCGCAAAATAGACGTGAAACGATACACGACCACGTTTCACTGAATAACTAACGCGACTAACATATCCCACTGTAAGCAATGCACAGTTCGACGGCGACACCACTAATCAGAGTCGACGCATCAAATATGATTCAGCGTCGTTCGGCTATTTTCGGCTCCGCTCGGGTTTCCTTCGTCCTCATGGCTAACAATGAGCGTTCAAATTTCTGTCTTCGAAATGATTCGAGACTGCTGAGCCTCAAATCACTTCGACGTTCACCGATACCAGATATTGAAAGCCTTTAATGTCTCCCGCTTACAAAATTCGTGATAAACTATCGCGTGTTAGCGATAGTTCGTTTTTCAAATTCACAGCTTTCCTTCGATATTCTGATTCGGATACAAGACTTCGGATTCCTAATTCCGATACCCAACAATGTCCAAATTGTTCTTAATCGCATTACTACTCATAATACAATATTTCACCGGGGATCCATAATTCATTCTTCATTTTCAGAGTCGTCGACCGTACTCTACATACATCGATTTACTTTGCAATGATTAAACGTATTCGATAAGAAGATTCACCAATGTTGTTATGAATAATGTAACCAACGGACAGACATCATGTCGCTGGCAGAATCGATATCATTGATCAAGAAAGTTAATCGTTATCATTTTTGTTATGTCACGTGTCGTTGTGTGCAAAGTTAATACCCAATTCGAAATCTTTATAACGTGTGTCTGTTATCTGACTCGGGTCCGATTCATCGTTAGCGTTACGCAGGTAATTGTTTCAACCAAATGGGATTAATTGCGTGCACGAAATCACTCGATGTAAACAATTATTACTGTCCGATGACTTTCATTTCTCTTCGTTCGTCGGTTACAAAATCGAAACGTCGTGGTGGTATTGATACATTCACGTGGAATAAACGTTAACGACTACCTGTACTTGACAGTATTGCGACTTATGTAATTCGTGCATAACTACGTGCATATATAACCACCCATCGGTTTCGTACGCAATAACTTTACGATAGGACAGGACACCTAGCGACCAACACCAGAAAGTTGTCCCTCGCACGGATCGATTCATAATATATCAGTCTCCTTGATGCATTAGGATTCGAATGTATTCCAACCTTGGTAGCAAGACTTCACTAATCTCTATCGTTAATCTTTACTTGCGTCGACAGGGGAAATGTTCTAGAACGTTAATCGCTCGGTGTCACCGATTTTCATCCATTAGAAAGCGCTGATGTTTGCCCGATAAACCCGAGTCAAACTCTCCTGGACACGGTTCGTGTTTCGTGTTTATAGTCAGATGACAATCTAAATTTTATTCCATCTTACGATCTGACCGGTGGCACAATATCCTCCTGAAATTGTCGAAGACCCTCGGCTAATATCCATACGACAAATAAACAAACACGATTTCGGGGGTAGAAAAACATCGGAGTCTAAGATTGTTGAATCGTTGGGTCATACGAGCTGCAATGTGGGTCACGGTCAAGTAGTTGGTTATACAGGGCGTTTCATTTATTTCAACTACCTTAATATTTTGTTTTTTTCTTAAGGATATGTAAAATTGTTTCCTTCGAGAGAACAAATGTTATAATTGTCGACTCCTTTTCAAGGTTATCCCCCCCTCTCCCTCGCATTGCAGTCATCGATATTGTTCCAGTTCTAACCGCATTCTAGTAAAAAAAAATTGTATAGTAATTAATAAACGTTTACATAGTCGCATGAAGTAATAATTAATATGCAAGAATATAAAAATATATTAGAAAGTATTTGTATAAATTCAGGTGAGTTTTCACGTATGCAAGTAAAACGTTGCTGCTCGTCGATAACAGCAATGCTTATCCGATTACACAAATTCCTAGCATGATTCCAGCTAGACTGTTCGTCGAAACGCTGACACCGCGGTCCGTGTTTAGAAGATAAAGCGTTTCCAACGGTTGAACGAAAGGTAGAAAGCGTTCGGCGTACGTCAGAAGTCTGCGTCTTAAAAATAATGTAGCCATGATACAATTTAAAGAAAATAAACCTAGAACAGTTCTTATTCGTGAACGATCATGGAATAGTTGTCAAATTTATAAAAATAAATAATTTACTTGTTGCATGACACCGTGATTAAGAATCACTGGTTTAAATAAACGTTAATTTAGTCAATAGGTAGGTGTACTTCGTTCGTCCGTGTCTACCTTCACGTAATGCGTCGCGCAACTCGTGAAAGGTGATACTTAAACTCTTCCTGTTTTGTTTTTGCGTTCTCGAGCGATCTTTAACCATCGGCTATAATGATTTAGTTACCCGGAATAATTAATGAGTATGAGAACCGTGATTCGGTAAATAACATAATCGCTCGTCTGACACGGAAACGACTGTTTTCCCGCCAACGGTTACAAGTGTCCTTCGTTAATTATCGCAAACAAGAATCATTTTGGGTCAAAGGTCTGTAATAGAAAAATTGGATGAACGTGAGCGAGATTTGAAAAAAATGGATGGCATCGTTTGAAACCGACCGGTCAGACATCTAGTAGCTGGACGCGGAATTATTACGAAGGTAAACATATCGCAAGAGATTTTCGATGTATCGAGTGTGAAGGGACAGCCACGTCCTTGATAACGACGATTTTTGTTCGTACAGGCCACCGTTTGATCACCGCACGAAGAAAGCCAATTTTCTCGGAGTATTTATCGCATCGATGAAACTGTATTCCTTTCTTCTACGCTGTTTACAGCGTGGCCTCGTAAGTATTTTCTTGTCACGGGACGTCATTAAACCTCGTTCTTTTTCTCGAACCGTATACCAGATGGCAACACCTTCACAAATATTTTCGTTTGTTTACTTTCGAATCGCGGCGATGTACACGAAACACGTCACCCCGAGAAATACAAAATTCTCGATCCCTGTAAAATTTAAAAAGAGATAAACACCTTCAAATACGAGCTATCGATGTCTCAGAGCTATGTTTAATCACTCCCTGTTCGTCAATAACGTACGAAAATGTTTAACGTGTACCCGCGTCGATGCTGTCGGATATCATCGCGACGTTCCATTGAAAAGATACTTTTTCTTTACGATAAAGCCTGTGGAATCACAACGGAGCCTCGACACCGTAAATCTTGACTACTTGAAGCCGGAAGTGGTGCTCAGCGAGAACAATCGGAAGTTGTTTATCGAGAGGCTCAAGGCTCGTAAACCCATAAAGGCATTGGACGAGAATGTGAATCGTGCTGCCGTTTTGGTGCCATTGTGCAAGCACAAAGGTGAACTGGGGTTTTTGTACACACTGAGGTCCACGAAACTGTCCTCGAACCGTGGACAAGTCTCGTTTCCAGGCGGTATGTACGACAAGGAGGATCTTAACCTTCAAGAAACCGCGTTGCGCGAAACCTGGGAGGAACTTAAAATCCCGAGGGAGAAGATTGACGTTTGGACTTCCGGTAACTTGATCGATAAGAAGAACGTACATGTAATGCCCGTTTTCGGTTATATCGGCGATATCGAGCCGAATAAACTTCAGATCAACACGAACGAGGTGGAAGAAGCTTTCATTCTCAGTTTGAAAAATCTGTGCGATCTCTCGTTATGCCGATATACGCAGTTTCGCGACTCTTACACTCTTCCGGTTTATTTGGGCGGGAAACACCGCGTTTGGGGTTTCACGGCAATGGTAACGCACATGATTCTAAACGCTTTAGTACCTGATGCCTATAAGCACAAGCTCGTATACGTACAACCAATTTTGCCAAAGATTAAAGGTACACTTAAGAATAATGTTCATTCGTGAGGTTATAATATTATTTAACTCTGTACTTTTCATTCTCCGTCTCTATGTATAATTTCACTGATAGCATAAAGGATTGAAGAAATTGTTATCCCTCTTTTCTTAAAAATTAGTAATACGTTTTGTAACTGTGTAATTATTACCAATGACCAGTGTTTTGTGAATTTTATCTCTGAATAATAAACACTCCCCGCGCCATTTTTCTCCGTTAACGAATTCTAATTTACGAATGAATTTACGAAGGTACCGTTGACCAAAGTTTACGAATGAATAAAAAATTTGTATTTATCGTTCGGGAATAAAATTTGTCGACCACTGATTGGAATGTAAAATTCGTTTATGGTGTTCGGTTTGACGCTATAAGCGCCAACAGGAACAAAGCCATGACGTCACTTCCATGTCTCGACTCGCGCTCGCAAATGTTTATTACAAAAAGTGTATTTATTGCAATACCTTCCCTCCATTGATTTATCAATGATAAATAAAATTAATAAAATTCTTTACGATTTCGAAATTCCTATTGTCTAATAGAAATCGTCATTGGATTAAGCAAATTTGTTAATATATGAACCAATGTTTCTCGTTAAAGATATTAATTGCAAGGGAAGTCACGTGTTTTTGATTACTTTAATCGTCTTCGCGTTAGGCGAAGTATATGTAGTATGCAATGTTTTTGATTGTACATAATGTGTGTAACGAGAATCGATGTTTTCTTGAATACCCGACGCTATGGCGCGTATCAATGAATGTTGTGTAAATAATAAATGAGAACAAATTGAGTAATTGTATAAATAATAAAGATTATAAAACATGGCGGTTGTAATAGAAACTACAGTAGGAGACTTTACTGTTGATTTGTACACAGACGAACGTCCGCAAAGTGAGTACGATCTGAGAATTGAGGTTAAGAAATTGCTTGCCATAATACTGTAAATTAATCCGAGAATCTTATTATCGTTAGCGGTACTGATATAAACAATATTTTTCAGCATGTCGAAATTTTCTAAAATTATGCAAATTAAAGTATTACAACTGGAACTTGTTCCATTCTGTCCAGGGCAATTTTATTGCCCAAACTGGAGACCCTACTGGCACTGGGAAAGGGGGAGAAAGTGTCTATGGGATTATATTAGGCGAAAAGGCACGATATTACGAGGCAGAACAAATGCCAAAGATAAAACACGACAGAAGCGGTCTATTGTCTATGGTCAATTGCGGCAATAATATGCTCGGATCTCAATTCTTTGTTACCCTTGCACCCGAGCTCCAATCCTTAGACGGAGAACATTGTGTGTTCGGTGAAATTACAGAGGGTTTAGAGATTATTTTTAAATTCAATGAAACAATATGCGACGGAGACCACAGACCATACCAAGATATACGTATTTCTCATACTGTTATTTTGGAAGATCCTTTCGAAGATCCCAAAGATTTTGTTGTTCCTGATAAGAGTCCACCACCTACAAAAGAATGTTTAATGGTATAATCTTTTCATTGTATACCGTAAGGGTTTTGAAATTTTTTTATAACGACGGATAAACCTGTTCGTAGAGCGACAGAATTGGAGCGGATGAAGTAATAGACGATACGGCTGGTATGACCGTCGAAGAAATCACAGAGATGCAAAAAGAGAAGGAGGCCAAGGCGAGAGCTACTATTTTGGAAATTGTTGGTGACATTCCAGATGCAGAGATGGCTCCTCCTGAAAATGTTCTCTTTGTTTGTAAATTGAATCCCGTCACGAACGATGACGATCTTGAAATTATTTTCAGCAGATTTGGGAAAATTGTTGGGTATACTAAATAATTTTGTAATTTTATTCGTCATGTATATTTTTTCCTTTTATTCGTCATATCTATTTTTCCTTTCAGTTGCGAAGTTATTAGAGATCGACAAACCGGAGATTCTCTGCAATACGCGTTTATTGAGTTTGCAGAGCGCAAAAGCTGCGAGGAAGCTTATTTTAAGATGGACAACGTGTTGATCGACGATCGCCGCATACATGTAGACTTCTCGCAGTCAGTAGCCAAAATGAGATGGAGGGGCAAAGGCAAAGGAATACAATACTTTGACGAGAAAAATGACGAACTGGACAATGGAAACCGAAAGAAAGTGAGTTCGAGAAACAGAAAGAGAGATGAAACCGACGACGAGATGGGAGATCGTAGGCAAAATGAGACCAAATACCAGGAGGATGTAACGGATCACAGGAAACACGAACGCAGGAAAGAGTCGAACAAGGAAGACTCGGAGTACTCGCGAAATGGTGCAAAGTACGCGGAGAAAGAAAAATACAGAGTAGGGAAATATCGCGATGATTCGCGCGAAAGGAACGATCATGACGTCAAACGAAAAAAAGCAAGGAAACACAGGAGCAAGGACAGAAGCAGAGGTCGAAGTCGAGACAGAAGCAAGGATAGAGATCGAAGCAAAAAGGACGTTCATAAAGAACATAGGCACAATAAAAAATACGATGGCGAGAAAAAAAGAAAGGATAGGGACAGTTCTAGTTCCGACAGCGACGGTTCGAGGCACGGAAAACACGAAGAAAAACATTTGAATTACAAAAAGAAGCGTAACAGAGATCGTTCCGCAGAGAGGTACAGAAAATCGGAAAAGTACAAGCAGAAAAGAAAATAATGTAAATAACATAATATTCACCTATCATTCGAATTCTCATTGATGCTAATTTAGTCGTGCACACGTACATATTAAAAAAAAAAAAATAATCGAACGATCGATGAACCACCACTGAAAATATACGCCTGATATTTCTAAGCAATTAAAATTTATTTAATTTATCTTGCAATTTTTATTTTATCTGTCCCAAACGTTCCGAATACTTTCAATGACGAAAGATAAATGATAATGTAGGAAGGGAATTGAAGTATTTAACGACGTAAAAGAAATGTAGTTTAGAACGCGTATTGTTTTCGCGCTACAAATTTAAAAATCCATTTGCGTGATCAGCAAATATTTAGTTACGTTTCTTACCGGACAGTGTTACTAGATCGCACACCAGGTGCGCTAGAATAACGCCTTCTACGTTCGTACACTGATGCACGATCGTGCGTGTACGAATTAGAGTTTCGAAAAGAACGGACTGACACTCGTCCTTTTCTAAGACTTCTCGAAGCTGCCCGAAGCGAGCACGGCTGCTTTCTTGATGCTCCAAAACTCTACAAGCTCACGTACACGCGATCGGGCATCAGTGTGCGAGAGTAGAGGGGGAAATTCCAAATGCACCCGGTGTACAGTCTGGCGACACTGCTACCGGCATCATTTAAAGTAGAATGGTTGTACAGCGCGACTCGCAACTTGTACTTTCTGCAACCGTAGTTTTACCGCAGCTCGTCGAGGGGAAACGTGTGTTTCGCGTGTTCGTATCTCGTTCCGTGACTTAAACCCACGAGTAACTGAATTTTTGTACAACGACCGTTTCTTAGTCGAGGAAAATGTCTGCCAAACCCGCATTCAAAGTCGGTAAGTTATAGAATAACAGAACAATTTTGGAGTCGTCTTCGTCGACACGTGGTCGTTGTATTGGAGCTAGATTAGTAACCTCCTCTTGTATTATTTAAAGCACGATATTGCTTAAAGTATTCGAAGCAATTAGGATGAAAGAAACTGACAAAATATCGTCGGAGAAAGATGCACGCGTTTAAGTTAAAAATTACCAAACGCCGAGATGATGTGTTATCATGGCACGAAGAATAACCTACACGATCTTACGATTATTTTTTATTTTCTTCGTTCCATGGTAATATTTCAAAGATAACACGGGTAAATAGGATAGAACGTAAATAAGAAATCGACTGTGTCGATTCAACATTGCACTCGAACGGAGTAATGCAACATTTGTAAATATGTCGTAATGCATCGTCGACTATATTTAATGGTAATTTGACTTAAACGTTTGAATCCGCTATCAGAGTAAATCAATTTATTGTTAAATGGAGGAATCTAGTTCGATATGAATAACACACTTTGTGCTCGGTTATTTGAGTATTAATAGAAACTTAAAGATACCGGCACGACATGAAACGAAGTTCGATATGATCGCAGGGTGAGTTAAGAGAAAATTTGTTACGTTCCAGCTAACTTGTCTCTGGCGGAATGGGGTCGAAAAGAAATTACGCTGGCGGAGCACGAGATGCCGGGGCTAATGGCAATCAGGAAAAAGTACGGTCCTGAAAAAATTTTAAAAGGAGCACGTATCGCCGGTTGCTTGCATATGACAGTGCAAACCGCGGTTCTCATTGAAACACTCGTCGAACTCGGAGCCGAGGTGAGTGGTGACATTTTCATTTTACAACACAGCTGTAAATACACGCTCACACGATCGTCTATAAATCGTCGAACATTTCGTTCGTCTTGGAAAATGCAAATTAAGGTTCAGACATAGAGTAACGCACAGTGGCGACCGCTTGTCGGAACCTTTGATGTTCGATACTCCAATTTCTTTGGAGACTGGAATCCTAAAAGCAATTTTGTCGATATTGGTACTCTTTAGACATACAGAGTGAACAACACTTCTTGTCTAACTAGTACCCTTTGCGTATAATTAGTATCGTTAATAAATTGAACATCCAGTATAATCGAGCCCGCGATATGTTCACGTGTATAGATTTCTATTGTATAAATGTGGCAATGTTGCTGGGCATGCCCACTAGAGGGAGCACATGGTCACTTACAAGTTCCATCATTAATTCGAATGATCGTTTTCGAACGAAGTTGATGTACTCATAAAACGAAAATTGTTAATAACATGTTGGGTAAAATCCATGACATATAATATGAGTTATATTTTCTTTATAATATCGGTCAATAACGAAAAGTCAGTAGACTTTAGAAGTAGTGGTACTGACAAATACTGAATTTTACGTTGAATAAAAATGATGCATTTTTACGCGTATGCAAGCTTATCTCGCAGATCATGACCTTTTATTATCACGAGATTTACTTACAGTTGCGTCAGTCATTGAAAGGCTTTCAAAAACTTTCTGAACCGGAGCCCAAGATCAATACTAAGTTCACAATATTCCATAATTTTGAACTATTGTGATGAATTCAGTTATTCGCATAACATTGTGCTATACCAACACTGAATATAGACTCTTATCACCGAGATTGAATAACACTCTTATCGTTAGGCAATAATCTATTCCTATTTATCATAATCATAAATCACTTCTAAAAATGTTGACATAACAAATCTTGATCTTCGAATTATACAATGGAATAAATTCACGCTCATATGATCAATCATTAATAATTCACTAATTATCACTGTGATTTTAGGTTATCTGATATTTATAGGGGATATTCTACTATGCCTTTAAAAAAATCGATTTATTTTTTACGTTTTTCCGAAGAACAGTTAAACCGCTTGTTTCTTTTTTTTTGGCGCGCGAAAACGATAAAAAAACATTAGAAGTCTTATGAAAGATTGGCAACAATGCTATTCGTTTGTTAGGTTCAATGGTCGTCGTGCAATATATTCAGTACACAAGACCATGCGGCTGCTGCTATTGCAAAAACGAGGGTTCCCGTATATGCATGGAAAGGTGAAACCGACGAAGAGTACCTCTGGTGCATAGAACAGACTCTCGTTTTCAAAGACGGCAAACCTTTAAATCTCATTCTCGACGATGGTGGTGATTTGACCAACCTGGTTCACACCAAATTCCCGGAATATCTGAAGGATTGCCGTGGTATCTCCGAAGAGACCACTACAGGAGTACACAATCTTTACCGAATGATGAAAGAGGGAAATTTAAAAGTCCCAGCAATCAATGTAAATGATTCAGTAACAAAGGTTCGTCGCAAGCATAAAATAGATTTCTCTATTCAAGGAACGGGAAGACGCCTTACCCTAGAATTAAAAATTTATGAGTTGCTGTTAGGAGTTTTTGTGAATTTTTATCTGTAACGTCTCACTGTTTAATGTTTGGTTCCATTCCCTTCAGTCGTCAACGATTCTACACCATAATAATAGAAGACAAGACAAACCTTAGTAAAATTACAGTAATCAAACTATAAAACCTTTTCTCATGCATGTTATTTATCAAAATTTTAGTGTGTCGTAGATTATCTTCTTAGAAGTCCACAAAAATTCCTACAGCAATCTTGAATAACCGCATGTGTAATCTACATGTTTCAATTTCCTCCACTTCCCAATCGCGGCTAAGTTCCGGTTTGTATATGAACTGAGATTACCTTTTATCGAGTAGAGCAAGTTCGACAATCTCTATGGATGCAGAGAGTCGTTGATCGATGGTATCAAACGAGCAACAGACGTAATGATCGCTGGGAAAGTGTGCGTGGTAGCTGGGTACGGGGATGTTGGTAAAGGATGCGCTCAGAGTCTCAGAGCACTGGGTGGTCGTGTTTTGATCACGGAAATTGACCCCATTAATGCACTGCAAGCAGCTATGGAAGGATACGAGGTGATTACTGAAACAACGAATCCATATTTAAACTTGAAAGAGGGATAGACTCAAAATGGAGGTAGATGAATTTGTGTGTGTACTTCCCAGGTGACTACGATGGAAGAAGCATCGACCAAAGGGCAGATATACGTCACCACTACCGGATGCAAAGACATTATATTAGGCCATCATTTCATAAACATGCCAGAAGATGCTATAGTCTGCAATATCGGTCACTTCGACTGCGAGTTAGATGTCAGTTGGCTCGAGAAAAATGCCGTTGAAAAAGTCAACATTAAGCCCCAAGTAGATAGATACCGGTTGAATAATGGCAGGTGGGCAGCTCGATAAATTAGAACGCTATAAATTAAACGCTTGAGCAGGTTCTTCAATGTTTTCGGTTCTCCCATTTCAGACATATTATCCTTCTCGCGGAGGGTCGTTTAGTTAATCTTGGATGCGCGACGGGACACTCAAGTTTCGTGATGAGCAATTCGTTTTCGAATCAAGTGCTGGCACAGATAGAGTTATGGACAAAGTCAGAATCCTATCCGATCGGCGTTCACATGCTGCCAAAGAAGTTGGACGAAGAAGTTGCGGCATTGCATTTGAATCACCTCGGTGTGAAGTTAACGAAACTGTCAAAGGAACAGGCCAAATACCTTGGCATACCTATCGAAGGACCATACAAGGCTGATCATTACCGATATTAGACATTTTTATATGTAAAAAAAGTTTTTATGTATATAGACCACTGCTAGTTCATTGTTCAAACGAACAATGCATTGTCAGAAACCACTATTTGGTCCTTAACAATATGAATAAACAATTTAAAGAATACTGACCGCGAAAGCATTTATAAATTAACGAAACAGAGACTGTTTCTGTTATCGATGAATGTAAAACTAATTGTAAATGAGCCAGTGTCTCGGATTTATAAAACTTATTAAAGAAAAAACATATTTATTATTCTTTCATACTATTAATTTATATATATATATATATATATATCGTCGCGAGTATGTACAACCTCTCTTATTTTATTTACACTTTTAAAAGAGCAGAACTTTCCTGTAGGCAATAGCATCCACAGCCTGTCGGGCACAGTGTCTCATTTGTGAACCATGTCGCCAAGTGTTGCGTGTGCCCCCCATGGCCGCAAAATATACAGAAGTTACTTGGACCTAAATGCACCATGCAAAGACAATACTGTAATACTCACATTCGCGATAGAAAATTGAAAATTTATAGTTTAAATGCAACGCACCTCTCACAGAGATGTGACAAATAACACATTCCAAGGCTAGGCGCTTACAACTTATACATTGGGGGCCTCTGCTAACTTTGTTACATATCTGGCATTCGCTTTGAAACTCAACGCCTTTGTGCGTGTCCAGGGGCGTCGTGCTCACGTGTTTTAATACTTGTGCACGGGCATCCAACAAACGCCATCTGTGCAATACCTCAGCGTACGCCTTTTTGTATCCATCGTAGAGCGTGGTGTATTTTTCATCGAGTAATCTGCACAATCAATATCTAAAATTATCTTGTAAATGATTGTAATCTAAAAGCAGCATGCAGCGCTGTACGATACATAAATGTTTCACATTTGCGATAAAAATTATATGCGTATACCTAATACTTTTTACAGAGTCGCCAAACGTGTCTTGAATGAGCTTTAAATCGTCGAGCGAATCGGACCATGAGTTAGAGCGATGATGTTTCAAATTTTGAAAGTTCCATCCTTCTAATGTGGTATCGGCTAGGTGAATCGTATGGTACGGCGAACCGCCGGGCTAGAAAGACAGATGACGTAAAATACATCGCAGTTCTACTTAAACACGTTCTATCAACGATATAAATACAATATACAAATGAAAAGGCATTATGTCCGTGATCACTTCCTGCACAAAGAAATTTGTCTTCTGTGCAAAATTCAAGGCATTATCACAACAGACAGTACATCACATACATCGAGTAATTGAAACGAATATTTTGTACAACTTGTCACGACTGTTGGTCGTGATACAAGACGATTGTCAAAATATGAAACTAAACGTTTGGCGTATCAAGACCAAGCACGGCCAAACCAGCATGCTTTGTGACATCACGACACTTCTACTCCGATGCTAGAAGGCGGTAACAAATATTACCATGATAGAGAACCTTAAAGACAAATGCTCAAACACGCATAACCAATTGAGTGCCGTGTTCGTCTCTAGTTTTGTCACTTTATCGTACACCGTTATTTTGATAATTAACGCTATTGGGAATATTGTAATAACGAAGTATCGAATATTTCGGCGTGAATGAAGACACGAAAAATTTGCACGGCACTCAACACGAGAATCATAGAAAGTTCATGCCTTACCTTCAGCCACCATTTTCCTGTAGAAAGCCTCTATAACAAAGATAATATTCATATCAATCAACTGATAATTCTTGGAAATATATGAAATACTGAAACGAAACTATAAACGTTGCAGTACGTCGGTATAGTATAATCCATTCAAATTTTATTTTTATATTTTCTATACTGTATTCATACTGTACCGTCGTATTACAAAAGAATTATATTTACACTTTCAAACTGTATTTGCTCATGCATCAGAAGAAACGTGTACTGACAAAAGAACGTTGAGATCTGTCTCATTTCGAATTGGGAATTGCAAAATAGGGAGTTTTTAGGTCGATTTTATTTTTCATATTAAAGAAAACCGAAGCAACTCTCAACGTTCCTTTGTAAATATAAAAGATGTGATATACTGCATTTTGGAAAAGACCAATATCGTGACATAAATCATAGTACAATAGAATATATACGACTATGTTTAAAGAGCATCGTAAAGTACAGAAATGTTCAACGTTTCATGAACAGAAGACAAAATCAAGACGTGTGACGCACTGATCATAAATAACGCTACAAGAGTAGTGCACGTGTCAGGCCTTTCATGCTAAAAAAAAAATTAAATTAACTCGCAAACAAATGCAGCGTACTTACACTGACGTTTACGGACTTGCTACTCAATCGTGTTTGAGCAACGTCTGGATTTTCTGAACGATAACTAAATGCACAGCTCAGCATGCCTGCCATCTGTATGTCCGATTGATTGGCATAGTGCTGTATTCTGAACGATACAAAACAATTAATACGTAATCCCGTCTCTGTGACATAATATTAATTTAGGACTTACAGAGAATGAATTAAATTTTGACCAAATGGATGTAACGGCCACGGGGCGTCGATGTCAGGCGACTGACATGAATTTTGCCCGACGTTAGAGACCGGTTGCGATATCACGAGAGCAGCCAAACACCATGCCTGAACTAAATCAGGACGCTCTAGTTGCGCGGCAACGTTTGCATTATATTGGCACATTGCTGGAATGTCGGTGATATTGATCCTGGAGATCAAACAAATAAGATTACTCGATCGAAAGAGACACGCTCGTAAACAAGCTGACGTAACGAGAATTATCAGTTCTGCTTACACGTATTTTTCAGCAAGCTCTTTATTGACGAAAAATAACGAGGAGGCATCGTACGTGATTACCATGAAGTGATAATTTTTTAAACACGACCTATGAGACATTCTGCTGGTATTGTGTAATCCGCGATTCATTTTCTATCGGAACCAGAGCAGTTAGAATGATTAATAACGTTAGATAAATATTTTACATAACAGCTATTGCAAAAGGATGCTTTGCTTACGTGATCTTGAAAATAAAAGGAACTAATGGATATAGTATCGTTCGACTGTACATAGGAATTTGGATACATGTGCATAAAATGCTCTCCGTTGCCAATACCGTTTCCCAACGCGGAGAGCGCTCTAGGCGTTGTACTCTCGGGTTTCATCGACGACCTTCTGGTGTATGAAGCACGACCAAAACATACAAGAATACCTATTGAAACACTGAGTTGAGTTCTAGTATACGAGGTTTTAATGACGTACTATTTCTTCACATACCCACGCAACAGAACTTCGCGCCAGATGTTCGTGGGAACGGTATGTAGGCGTCTTGATAATTTGTATATATGTTGGAGGAGCTCAAAAAATTCGCGTTGTCTTGAATGTCGTATCCCAAGTGACTGCTTTCGTTCTCGTCTTTTTTACACGTCTAATAAGAAAATATTATCAGTCATTGCACGAAAATCGGGTAACCACGATTTGAGAAATAAATATTTATCTCATTTTTACTTGCTCCAAAGTTGCAATTAATTGTCTCAGGCATGGCTCCAAACACGATCGATTCTTTTTGACACGCTGTTGAGCTGTTTGTTTCAAAACTTTTAACAGCTTCCCCATCGTTGCGTTGTCGATCGTTGTGCCAGGACAAAATTGAAATGTAGGCTGCGCGCTGTACGGATAATTTGCGGGAAAGTTTACTTTTAATATCACGTTGTAACTTTTATTGGATGCCGTTACGGTGCAGCTGCGTTCTACAGCGTCCATCGCGTTTACCTGAAATGGCAATAAAAAAGAATTTATCTTCGCGTTTTTCTACTTCGCGTTCGTGTACATTACCTCTATATTTGGTATGTTCATGTTTATTAAAGAGAATTCTTGCTGTAAAGTCTTTGGTTGCGTAGGAGACGATATTTCTTTGTTATTCTCAATGTATGTATCCGTTTCGGGATTTAACGTAGGTTCATCCGCTTTCGTCGTTATACAATTGATCTCGCGATCATTTTGAGCGTCATTAAGTTGTAATTGAACGGACTGCAGTGTTCCTGTATTCGTAACAAATACATTTAGCCAAATGATATTAAAATGTTTTTGTATTTTCATGGAAGAGGTACATACTTAAATTATTATCTTCCGAATATTGAGTATAAATGGATGTACCGTCGTCTATGCCGTGTCCACACAACTAGAAAATCATAACATTTTATTTTTATACGAACTAAAAAATGAAGCTTATTACATAGTACACTAATCTGTACCTTCTTCAAAAAAGGATCAATTTTATATATTCTTAAACACTGATCCTTTGACCAAGTAATCAATTCGTAGTCGCTATTCTCTGTAAATATTTAATATATTTAATATTCTCTGCTTCACGTACAAATTTGTTTGTACAAGGCATACCTAATTTCTGATGTCTCCATTGAAACTCAAGAACAACATCAGTGTGTCCTATAAATGTATAAATAGGCGTGCTGAGATTTGTTGTATTCCATAACAACAAAGTATTTTCTCCCCGTCGTAATTGCGGTACGACTATCGTTACCAATCCTTCTCCAAACGGCTGTAGACGATTTAGGTTATTTTACACGCATGAACGGACTTTAATCTTATTATATACAATATTGTTATCACCGTGTATCTAGCTCTCCATACTGGCGAGTCTGTCGTTACAATACTTTCGGCCCTACGCGGGCAACTGATATCGAAGATCTTTACTGTACAATCTTGACTAGAAGTTGCCAGTTGATTTTGTTGGAACGGACACCAATCTAAACCATGTATCTAAAATAACTTTAGTGTTTATAAGTCTCCTGTTAAACTTATAAATTACTAAAGCAACTAACTATTAAAATCATTCCATAAAATCGACTAGTATACTTTTGTTAGATGAGCAGCTATGTACTGCACAGGACTATTTCCTTTTCGTTGATCCCATATTTTAATATCTCCATCGTGCGCTGTTGCAAGCATATTGGAAGACAGACTGTTCCATCGTACTTGAGAGGAACCGGCTATAAATGTAATTATGCGTGCACTCGACTATTCGTGAAACTATTATCGCGAAAAACTTACCAACTGCGGACAAAGATAAAGAAGGCTTCCTTTGGTCTCTTATGTCCCAAATATGTATAAACGTATCGATGCTACAAGAAGCAATGACGTCTGGTTCCTTCGGATGCCAATGTAGGTCGCTCACTACCCGTGTGTGCGCCTTTAGACTATTCGTTGTTTGTAACTCATAGCCACCGCCTCCAGTGAGAGATAATATCTCTATACGTGTATTGCTCTATAATTTAAAATTAATCAAACACATATGGAATACAATAAAAACATATATTATTCGATTACCGACCGACACTGCACACAGATGAGAATTTAGACTGGTGGGATTCCATTCCGCGGACCCAACTTCGTACTTGCTTTGTCGTTGGAACTTCTTCAAAGCGTCGGCACCCTCGTCAAGATGCTTCACCGCGAAGCATCTACGTCTGATTACAAAAGAGACACGTTGAATGAAAGATACAAAGACACAAAGCCGAGTAAACAAACAATAAAAAAAACACAGTAAACAGAGTGCTTGACAATACTTACCCGGCAAGTAACACGTAGTTGCCAGTCGAGTCGACAGCCATACTATTAGCCTGAAAATAATAAAAATGATTTTTATAATCGAAAATATTTGGGCATGTAACGCCTGAAATCAAAAGACACGGTTTTTTCGCGATATTTAACGTACGAAAATTGCCCGGCGCCATGGGACATTTTACCTGTAAATCACGGTGTTCCGTAACCACATAATCGTTGCTCCAGCGTTTTGACATTTTACCAATGAATTCGAATTCCTGTCACCATTCTGCAAGGTTAGAATTAAACCGAATACGCAGCCTAAGTTGAACCGTATACGCAATCACGGAGGCAGTCAAAGTGTGTATGCGATACGCTGCACCGCGGACCGCGCGCACACATCGTGATCAGCGGCACGGGATTGGTCGGTGGGATTCACGCACGCATCCGCACACGGAACGAGGGGGCCAAAGCAGGGGGTGAAAACGAGGTAAAAAGAGTATCGGTGAGAGAGAGAGAGGGAAGTTCAAGACGCTTCGCTGTGCTATTTCTGTCACGTAGGACGCATATATTCGTTGTTGCATACAAGTGTACTGACATCGAGACGCAAATAATTGGTAAACGGTGCGAAACAGGAACGGGGAAGGTTGAAGTTTGTCGATCGGCAATCAACGGCGTCGTAGTTTTGAATTGAATTTACGGTGTTTTTTCGTTCGACAGTGACCGTGATAATTCGAGTGCCAATTTGTGTGACAACAATGTCCGTGATTATGGATTGTTTTCACCAGTAGCGGACGTGTGAAGTTTGTTAGTCACTTTGTTTAGCCGAGTTGTGATAAGCAATTTCTGAACCTTCGTTGTTTCCCATTATAATTCGTGGCAGGTCCGCCAACGACTTTCCGTTTAGCGCGAGTTTTTTTCTAATCGAGAGACGGCGTCTTTTATTTCCGAGGGGTAGTTTTCTCCGTCCTTTGCGCCGTTTTTTCCCTCTCTTCAGCTGGGCACGTCATTCCGCGCAGCACAAGAACCCGTACCTGCTCGTCACGGCCTAGAGCTTCTATTCGAACACTGATTGCTGAAATCAGGGCCACGCACGGACGGTAAATTCGTCTTCGTATCTTTAATTAGAGATCTGTGATGTACAAACTCGGCGCCGTGGGAAAAATCATTACGTCCACAATTAATTTCGTGCACTCGAAAAGGAAAGGAATTTTCATATACATAAAAAAGATTTACAAAGACTCAATAAGTCTTCGATGTCAAAGAAGTTTTTTAACATTTCGCTTTTATTGAACGACTTGGCCGTACGACTGAAAAACGAGGTCAAGTTTTTGCCAAGAAATATACGCTGTAGGTCATTGACTCCGATGTAATGGAGTATTAATGACACAAGAAGCGTTCAGCTAGGAGATGCGCCAAGGATACCTGCTACACAGACATTGTTACACATTCTAAACGGACACCGATCATTGTCAGCAAGATGAAGTTGCTGGAGAGTACACGTTTCGAAGCTATAAACAGTGCCTTGTCAATCAAGACCGGAGACAGCAAGATAATAGGCAGGTAAGATAATCGTATCGATGTTTACTGTATCTGTTCCAAGATTCTTCGAAACGATGCTATACACGGCGGCTTTTATCAATTTTCAGAATAGAAAGTTACTCCTGCAAAATGGCTGGAAATGATAAACAGCTGTATAAACGTTTCAACGCAGAGCAAGGATTTACTCCGCACGATCTTCAAGCTTTATCACCACCGCAAACCTCTTTGGGGACATCGCCTGCTCAAAGGTAGTTTAAGCATTAAGTGTTTTGGTCAAAATGTAATAGTAACAAAACCAGTAAAAGTTCAAAGCATTTTATGATACGATGTCTATGTTTATATTTTGATAAAGCCTATTCTCTGTACATTAATTCATTATCATTTTCTTTTGTCCGCAGTCGCAGTGTTTCTGGCGATGAAGACGGTCCATTGTGCGACACAATCAGTAGAAAAACATTATTCTATTTGATCGCCACTTTGAATTCAGCTTTCCACCCAGATTATGATTTTTCTGACGCTAAGAGCCACGAATTCAGCAAAGAACCAAGCTTGACGTGGGTCATGAATGCCGTAGACAGCAATTTGAGTGCGACAGCGGGAGATCATTATCGCACCCTTCGAACAGCCCTTTGGGCGGCCGTCGATGATGAAATATCATTAAGCGAATGTGATATTTATAGGTAAACATCTATATTGTACGGGAACATGTTATATGTAGAACGTACTATGTAATTTAAGAATATGAAAACATTTTAGTTACAATCCAGACTTTGTGTCTGACCCTTTCGGAGAAGATGGATGCTTATGGTCCTTTAATTATTTCTTCTACAATAAGAAACTGAAACGCATTGTGTTCTTCACATGCAGAGCAATAAAGTAAGTGTATTAATTTCGCGAATCAACCTCCTTCGCTTCCAATAATAATTTGTGCCTTATGTGTAAATAAAAATTTCTTCTTCGAGTATTATATCTGTTGCTTCAAGCATTCGTTATGGGATATTTTCAACTCTCAGTTTTGAATCTTCTTCCGCATAATTTTTTGATAGAGATCTAAATAAAATAAACAATTATTTACATTCAAATGTAAGAAAATAAATTTCGTAAAACTTACTCTTAATTAATTTTTGCGCTTAAACGCAACTTCTATGTTCCGTAGAACGTTATATTATCAGATGTGTAAAAACCATATGAAAGTGCATGGCCATCTATTATTTCCACCTTAAACGCGCAGGAATTACCTGCAACAAAGTCGACGAAATAATATTAAGCAAATATGAACAAATAAAGATGATATAGTTTTACAAAATAAAGTTTTATGAAATTCATTTTCTATGTTTGAATGCGAACGAAAGTATGTTGGTCGAACCATTTTCAGGCTCATTGTCGTTCAAGGTAAGATACAACGTTTAACGTTCCAGCCGTATAGCCCGTTCCTTTCTCGAGATATAAGTAAAATTATAATATTTATCGAGCAAAACTAAATGTATAACCAACGAATGTTATATCATTTAGATCTTTGTCAAAATTAATGTATTCAAACGGACTCGAAACTAAAGAGTTGGAAAGATTTTCTAATAAAATGCTCGAAGTGATCCAAACAATAAAACACTTTCTTGTACCTTTTTGAATGTTCTTCTATACACGTTTCTTTTTACAGTCCCCTCTACGTACTAGATTCCGGAGTTGGCAGTGACTTTGCCATGGACGAAGATGAAGATAGATACTAAATTTACAATACATATTTACAAACTTTATCCCCATCTTTATTAATTCTAAAGAGGCACGAATTTCACCTATTACATAAAACTCTTAGTATGTACAATGATACATAATAATTTTTATAATCACTCTATATATCTTCATTTGCAGTGATGTTTGTTTCAGATTCAATATCGCTAGTAGAAAATAACTTCTACAATTTTGCTGTTTAGTTTACTATAGTATTAATGTTTAATTATAGACGACAGAGAATCAAACAGAAGAACAAACTTGGGAGATTTTTATAAATCCGTTTTTTTCCCCGTCGTGAAGCATATTTTCCACGTACACGTTATTATTCAATATATTTTAAGTATACTGTGTAAGTGGGACTGTGTAAGTCCCACGCAGCTGCAAACATTCACGTTTCACGAGATGTGAAGAGATATTCGAGTTCGAGAATATTGGACAAAGTCTTTACCGTCGTTTGAATACAAGAACAAAATTACTCGACGGATTTTTAAATTGATGTTGCGCCGAGTTGCCCTATTAGGATTTAAAAGTAAGTCAATTTCAAATTGTAGAACGGGAGTAGAGAATTTTTAGAGCAACGGTAGATCTGAGAGTGCAGCATCAACCTTTGAGTCTTAGTCATTGTACCATTAAGTTTAAAAAGCTGTGCAAATTATTTGCGTCGTTTGCTATAAATGTGTCACAAAATATTTTCAATATATTAATAGCACCTAGTGCATTAACCGTACTTTTTTTTTTTCGTGCGTAACTTCCGGTAAGTACACACGATCTTAATTTATGTTTATATGTAAATATTTATTCTATCAAATTACGGAGATTTCCATCAAATTTGTCACAATTATTTTGAACAAATTTATGACTAGTATGCTAGACTTTCTTAAACACTTCCGTGTAGAATGGAAACTTAATTTTATGTCACTGATGAATATATACATGTATATATATATCTATATATATCTCACCGGATTAAAAGACAGCACTAAGCTCGATTAGATTTTTAGGTCTTGGTTAATAAAAAAAAAAGTAATTAATTCTGAGACGATTTGTATAACGTATGTATAACTTTAGTTCCGTTAAGACTATACATTTGTCTGTCAGTAATTCAATAAACTTTATAAATCGATGTAGCTCAATCTTATATAATTTTGTTTTTATAAATAGATGTCTCTGCTAATAGCTGTTTTGTCGCATCAGTTTGTGAACATTCGATGAATAAAACGCAAACATTACACCCAAGTTTGTTTGTTGGTCGTATAATTGCTGTGTAAACCTAACTTACCCAAATTATTAGTCAATTGAACTTATTTGTACATCATAACATCTGGGGATTGATACATGCACATGTAGGCGTCGCACAACAGTCGTTTTGCATGTTCCGGTAAATGACGGTCATCCGTCAATTCAGTCAGATAATTTCCACCTTCTTCGCTCAGCCAATATGGGAAATCAGAACACGGAACCATTTCTGGTATGTTGTAACCATTCTGTTCTCCTGAAAGTAGTCGAGCAATTAAAATTAAACAAAATGAACTTAATATTTTTACAGTTGTTTCAAGCAATCACTCTATAAATCAAAGGATCGGTTGAAACTATATTCCAAATATAAAAATACCTTTTCTATCAGCCATAGAGTCGAAGAAACACCACGGTGCCTCCGAACCAGAACCACATTTCACAAAACACACGTAATGAGAGGTTTCGATGCAAACTACTGCTGATAATTCCAGATACAATCGTGGGACAGGACAATGTTCTTGTAAGATAGCAAACTCCATTGGTACTACTAGTTTCTTTGGTTCGTGATTCGTCCTTCGTTCGTGACGATGTACCTGAAACGTAACACGTTCTTAAAACATCTTCGACTTCATGCTTTTTCTCACTTTCACTTTTCTTTTCCGTTTACCTTCTCTAAACACTGCAAACAGAAGGCGATACTCTCGAGTCCAACGCCGCATTGTCCGTAACACTCTTTGCACTCGAACTCTGCTAGTTTCCCGCAAACTGTACACTGTCTGGGAGCTGGAAACAGAACATCGATAATGAACTGTATACTATTGGCATAATTCGTTACGATAATACTTTGGCGACAGTTACAATCTTCGATTATGTCCGTTACGTCGAGCAACAGGGTAGGCTGTATCTTTGGATACATTTTGAACGACTTTCCAAATCGAGGCATCTGTATAATGAGACAGGATGGGACTTCTTTCAATCTTATGTTACTCGTGAGGAAACTTTGTTCTAATAATTGTTGCACAGTCGGTAGATTCAAATGATCGTCTTTTTCAACGAAAAGTTGATAGTGATACGCATCCTGTCCGGAACTTAGCTTGAGAAACGGCTCGGCGTTCAAAATCTGAGCAACCAGCGAAGTTAAAAATTCTTCGGGATCTAAGGAAATTCAAAGTAACTTTTAATCCAACAATCGAATATCGATAATCGAAATACACCGTGGATGCAAACCTTTCTCCTCGCTAGTAAGTCCGGATACCGATGACAATTTTTCAAGCAAAGTACGAAGTTTCATTACGTGATCTGCTCTGACAAACATATTTTTTCTAAGTGGATTCACTATCTCTTCGCGCAATACCCTTTGCACTTCCTCGTATTGTGGGCAATCTTTTTCGTTCGGAGGTCTGGTGAATATCAATTTATACATCATACTTATTCACTCTGAACAAAAAATCGCTTACTTTTTACGAAAATAAGGTGGACAATGTTAAATCATTACCTAAACAAGAGATTATCAAATACACTAGTAAACGTAAACATGCTAAAAAGAGTGGCATCCAAGTAACATGAATTGTGATGACCTTGAATCCCTCTATATTTCCCACAAATACTTTCCAGGTTTCCTTTAACGGAAATAGGGCGTACCATACCGACAATGACAGAGCTTTCCATATTTCCAAAACTGTCTATATTTATCGGTACTGCTGGATCGTTAATTTTTGCCTGTGAGAATATTGTCTTTTAGTTACGTATAAAAAAAAATAAAATATTTATCATTCGATACTTACGACCACTGTATCGTAACGAGAACATTGTTCGAGATCTGTGAAAATAGCTCTGTAAGGTCGACAGTGAAAATACCTTACGCCCTTGTAGGTTCCATCAGTACCCGATGGGTGACTGTCGTCCTAAAAATGGAACAACTGTATATTTTGCATGTTGGATTTCGTTCTATCGCTAAACTCGTTTGTTCATTACTACGTACCAGTTCCACAGCAGCCATTAATTTACCGGGAGTAATATCAGCGGGTGTTCCGATCCAACGAATAACTCCATAGTGTACATCGGAGTCCAAAAGAATTTTTACATTGGAACCTACGATCAAATCTGTATTCTCTACCCATCCAAACTTCTTATTTTCATTTCTTTCCGGCGTGTTACCTAGAACAATACCGAACATCAAAAGTTTATATTCGTACCATCGAGGTTGAAATAGAAATAATATTTTGGCAAAAAAGATATTGCGGCAGGAAACGTGCGGAAAGCAACGCGATGCGAAGCGTCATAATACATAAACATAAAACGCGGAAGTGCAGTAGAGTTCACGCGAAATTGTTCACTTTTCCTTACTATGATTTAATAAACGTGATTGTTCGAATTCCTCTATGTCACTGTACACGTTCGATTCAACGTCACTGCTCCATTTGTGCTCTAACACGAAGACAGGAATGTTTTGCAACATAGCAGCCATTTTCTAACGAAATTCCAATAAATTTACAATGCTTGAGGGACTTGCCGGTAACACTGAGACAGGCTAAGATCGTGGCTATTTTTAACCGTCTCGGTTAAGAATAACTCCCTCTACTGCACACATTGGGTAAAGACAAGCACGCTATGCGAAATTCCTAGAGAAGCTAGCGAAACGTTCTATTAACCAAGAAGCCAAGCTTTACATTTATTTTTGTATTTTCACTATTACCAGATTGCGCGTACGCATGGATATTTGTGTTTTTAGTTACATTGCTATCGTTTTCGAGTGTCATTGATTTTGCCGATTGAAGACACTCTATCGACAGAGGTCGTTGATCTCTGTTATTGTTTTTATTGTCGTCGAATGTAGCAAATTTTTCTAAATGGACAGATGGCGTCGAGTCTAACGTAGACTTTTTTTTGTCGTTCACGTAATTATTTCCTGAGTCTGTTTTCAAAAAGAAATCTGAAATTAAATGTACATTAATGAAGTAGTAACATCATAAATAAAAGAAAAAACAAAAATATTCGTGTACTTTTATCGGAGTTTCCGAGACCCGTGGGACCTTCCGGTTTTAATGGAAAAATATTACTCAATGTAGCGAACCTTCCTTCCGAATGAATAGAGTCGAAGTACTCCTTGCTCAGCAAGGCTGTTTTAGACGATTCTTGACCTTCCTGTTACATTAATAATTACATTAATAATATACGCATTAACTTATGTATAGTGCATTTAATTTAGATAACATTGTTCCGCTACGTCGTATGAAAATATGGTCCGTTTTTTAAACTGATGAACGATTGCATAGAAAATAGTTGAAATTTTTAACGCAGACCGTATTTGCTAAATCGACCAAAAACATACACGTGTCGCGACTAAGTACAAAGTGTTGTGCAAAATTACCAACAAATCAAGGCCGAAGTAATATCCTTGACCAAGCTGTGGCACAGGTCCAATATATTTAATAACAGCTAGGTACTTGGTGTGTCCTTGAGGATCAGGACAATACCAAATAGTATCGTCTATCATCAAGCCCATGAGTTCTTTGCATAATAGTTTGTGGTTGGCCAAGTGAACCCTTTCTTGCGGTACAGACACCGCGGGTAGAAATTTCCATACATCCGACGATACGGAGATCAAGTCGAACTTGTGACAACGCCATTCAGTGCCACGCCAAATCTCCGATTCTGTCGTGTCATTCACATGCACTCTCAGTGCACTGTCTCCCAGATCTTCGAGCGCTTCTACGAGCATACCGAGGCGTAACGTATTTACATTCTTAACGCATTCGCCCGACATACGCGTCAGAATGGTGTTCTGCTTGGCAACGTAATAGTGAAGGACCTGCCGGTCCTCTTTGCTACCGGTGTTCCGTTTCTCCATAATTAATCGCAAACGATCATCGTAACAAGGAGACCCGTCAACCTCAACGAGCACAAAGCACGCGGATAAAGTGCTACATTTACCTCCTTCATCGTTCAACCTTTGTCTCCGTAGTACGAAGAAAAAAAAGCGATGTTCTTTCGACGCATGTCGCTTATTGGATAAGTAAGATTTGCAGACAACCGGTGGAATTATTTAAGGAAATATCCTTCTCAAGCATGCACGAGCGTTCGCGACAGTCAAATTCAAGCAGAAAATTACACTTTGACTGTCAATTCGTATAGGGTATTTGCCAGTGGAAAACTCCGGCTGTAACGTTGGCATTAATAATTGCAAGGCTAATTTTCATTCAAACAATGCATCTCGTGTAAATCAAAGGTAGCGACAGAACGTTCTTATAGTTTAAGGATTATTTTGATAAGAAGACAAATTTTTGTTATTTCTTTTAGTGTATTTATAAACTGCTTTTAATAAATATAATCATCTTGTAGCAATTCTATCCGTAAAAACGGATATGATTCGAGTCCATTGATCTCTACATTCTGGAGATTTGTAGAGATCAGTGTTCCAGCCTCTGTTTCAGTAAGATTAAAATTCCCTATGATTTTCACTCGTTTTCTTCCGCGATTTGTGGAATCCGTGAACCGTGATTTTATTATTCTTATATTGAACGTATACAGGGTGTAATGAGAAATTCTAGAGGTCGAAAATCAAGAATACCAATTTGTTGATGGAGGCTTCGTTAAAAAGTTATTAACAATTAAATTCAAAAATTTTAAATCGTTCTGGAAAAATTATTTTCGGTTGCAGGGGTTAATTATAATCATTTTTTGTCCTTACACATACCCCCGAAATCCTACGTATTTTCGAGAAAAAAATTCGAGAATGTATGAAATTTTTCGAAGGAAAAAAAAATTTCAAATCGTTTTGGAAAAATTATTTTCGGTTGCGGGGATCAATTACAATCATTTTTGGTTCTTACACATACCCCCGAAATCCTACGCATTCTCGAAACAAAAATTCGAGAAAGTGTGAAATTTTTCGACGGAAAAAAAAATTTCAAATCGTTTTGGAAAAATTATTTTCGGGTGAAGGGGTTAATTATAATCATTTTTGGTGAATAGATATACCCCTGAAATCCTACACACTTTCGAGAAAAAAATTCGAGATGTGAAATTTTTCGTCGGAAAAAAAAAATTTCAAATCGTTTTGGAAAAATTATTTTCGGTTGCGGGGGTCAATTACAATCATTTTTGGTGGATAGACATACCCCCGAAATCTTGCGCATTTTGGAGAAAAAAATTCAGAACGGGCGGAACTTTATGCGTTAATAACTTTTTAACGAAGAATAAATCAACAAATTGATATTCTTGATTTTCGTCTTATTTTTGCCTCTAGAATCCCCCATTAAAATTTGTCCCAAAGGTGGCCGCACATTCTGTGTATGTATATTATTAATACGATTGAGTATAAATAACGTGTATGTATTTCACAAAACTTTTTTTTCATTATGGGTACTTTACTTATTCCAAATCATATGCCATTGACGTGAGGTCGGATTTCATTGTCAGTTGCTCAAGAGCAAGAAGGCAAATGTAAGCCTTTCTCTCTCGACTCCCACGAGACTGTCCGAAATTACTTCGGGCAGCTTCGGAGAATCGAAAGAGAGAGCATGTATCAGTTTGTCTTTGCCTCTGCGAGCTCACGTACGCATGATCTGGCATAGTGTGAAAAAGTGGAATGAGGCGTCACATTTCGCATAGTTACCGAGATATTTGCAGATTTATACAAAACAAAAAAACCAATTTACCGCCAAAACCAGCCCAATTTGGTACCAATAACATATACAATTGTTTTCTTAAAATGACCCCAAGAACACAAATTTAACCTTCAAAGTAGGAACCATGGAAATCGTAATTGTGCCGCTCAAGGGGTAAGACCACCATAAAAACCTGAAATAAAGCGTTTCCTTGCGATTCTTTTTTCTGGATGGATGGAAAAGTAAGAGGATAATAATATCCAAGAACGTTGTTGACCATGTTGTTAAGCGTGTAAAAAAATATATTTATTCAAAAATAGTAGCCAGAGAAATACGTAGGGAATCTTCGATAAGTTAATTTTAACATTATTTATTGACAAATGATCGCCCCATACAAAAATTCTCTTTCCCTGTAACTTTCTTAAATTTTGTTCCTTACTGGGATCGAACGGTACCCCAAATTCTAGTTAAGTGTATACGGCAGTGACCAGGCGCTCCAGTGCGCATGCTCAGAAATTCCCACGAATGTCCACCGCTCGAGGCTCTGTCTGGCATTGCTGGCGTCAGCGTTAACAATCGATACGGTGCGTGTCGATTCTCTCTCTGTCGATACGGTCTCTATCTATCGACTCTCTGCCTGTTCGAGTCCTGCGAAATTCAAACGTTTTTGAACGTTGTCAGTAAAAACGTTGTCAATAAGAAATCGTACTTTTTATATAATAGAACGTTCAAATGATAGAACATTCGTATAAAAGATGTTCCGTATCCGAACAAAGGAGTGAGAATGAAAGACCCGAACTGTGATCGGATTATTACATGCACTTAAACGTGTACTAAAATTTTTAAATATATTATTTATAACACGATTACAATTTGTACGAAAGTATCGTGACACGATCAGGGTTAAAAGGATGTAACATCGGCGTAAACTTTTATTGGAAATTGATGACAAGCGTTGACAAACGAGATCCACTGATAGATAGCATTGTCTGTAATTTTTCTTCGGAAGTTCATTGCTTACATGCGTCATTAAAGTACGCGTTCTCGGGATCGCTAGAATCGCATAAATATCTCGATTAAGTAAAAGAAAAAGGTCATACGCCAGTGGCTTTTCCCAATTACGACGTTTGAAGGAACGCTAACAAACGTTCACAAACCACAGGATCTATAAATACATTTGCGATCATGCGATATTATTACACAATGATTCTTCGTTTTCTTCGTTGCTCGTGGAAAATGCATGGAGTCACTTAAATTATCTTATTACATTGACTCACACGATTATCCGCGTCACTCGGGTTTGGAGGGTGCAACAAATCGATTTTTTCAATTGTTGCATTGTTCCTTTCGTATCCGATCAGCTGACAGAGTCTCGCTCGTGGTTGTAGGGCGAGGGGGTTAAGCGGGCATTAAAGTCGCCGCTCCTTTCGCGTGGCGTCGCGCGGAGAATATTTTCGTTCACGTTGATGTCATTCGTATCGATTACCAGTTCGTAACATCCTTAACATATCGATCGCGCGTATCCAATCGAATATGCGTCTACGTGATTCTAGGACATTCTACACCATCGTTCATAAATAAAATTGTAGACGTGTACATACGAACGATTCACACAATGTCAACGGTGCAAAATTTTTCCACTTCTTTCCAAAATACATATCGAACGCCAAAAATTCCGTTTCTACTTCTCCTCAATTTCGAGCTACAAGTTTTTCGAAGTTTTGAATTATTCAACAAAAAGCTCCCCCACCAGTGTCCGAAACTCGACTCGTGTTATTGCTGGCAAAATTCAATGGCGCTTTTTTCGCGTCCAGTTTTCAGACACGCCTTGATGATGCGCCTCGTCTGGCATTGGAGGATTTATTTATGCCAAATGGTTTCCCCGGGAGACATTTATCACATTACCAGCATTTCCAGTGAAACTGGTAAACGTTATTATAATTCCAAGAAACGTGGTCCATGAATCTCATAGGCTACTGTAAAGATCTAGGTTAGGTGTAGGTTAGGTTCGTGTTACCTTTTCTCTTCAATAACCTAGCATTTTCACATGCTCCTTGGGACAATATACACAATGTAGGAATTAAAATACAATTTGTGCGTAAGTAAACGGAAGCTGGTGTGCATGTGTGCGAGCTTAGGGGGAGCAATTAAGTAATCAGTGTGTCGATCCGTGTGTGTGCGTCTTCCGAACGGCCATCCATCGGCGCGTTATCGCGAACGAACATGCTAATCCAGCGAACGATCGTGCTCGAAACGCGACGGCGAGATCATCCGTGAGGAATGTCGTTGCCTGTCGCGGCAAACAATCCTGTCCCGGCGTCGTAAATTCGAAGGATGCGAGGCAGGGCTACGCTCCAATTTGCATGATCCTCTCCCGCCTCCCCCGCGACGGACGAAACGTGCGGGGAATCGATCCACCCGTGGAAACTCCTGAAACCGGATGACGTAGCCTCTGAAAACGATCTCCGGCTGAAACCAGCCTCCGAAAGAGTTGAACAATTCATCCGCCACCCACGTCGAGGCGCGTGCGCGCGCGCGCGCGAGATCGTATTCGCGAAACTGTGACGATCGCGGATCCTTTCACCGCCGGGGGTATCTTTATAAATACAAGTATTTAACCAGGACTCGCTTCGCAATCGTACGAGGACTCGCGACGAGCTACGAACGAGCTCGATCGCGACGGACGGATTTAAAAAAACGATCGAAGGGATGACGATCAGCGCGTCGTTCCTCGCCCTGGTCGCGGCGGCGGCCATTGTTGGCTCAGGTAACTCGAATTGCTTTCTTTCGTCGATCACAAAACGCGAGTGTAAACGTGGTGATGCACGAAAAAAGTGAATTTTTTACGCTTTGCATTCGAGAAGAAGTGTGTTTTTTTTTGGAGCTTCTTCCATTTTGTTTTTGTAGAATATTTTCGTCGATTATTGTTATAGTTTTCATTTGACTTTCGTTGTATGGTGTTCCTTGTTTACAGAACCGCACGGGGTATTTGGTGGAAGTGGAGGTCTAGCGTATAGTACGTATTATTATTATTATTAAACATCTTTTCTAAGTGTACAGGGTAAAAATTTAGTGGGAGATACTTGGGGTCGAAATAAGACGAAAATCAAGATTATGTGGCGTCGTCTCCCATGCTCGCCACCAGAGGGGTCGCGCTCTCACAATCGCTCGACCGACCCCTCCGTTGCTATATATACACTCCTCGAACGACTTCCAAATATTCCAGTCGTCTAAGGCAGGGCCTGCTAGAAAGCCTTACTGATGAGTCCACTAGCGCCCCCTACTTTCCTTTTCTCGCCTCCTACGATTCTCCCGAGTTCCTAACCCTCAGCCAGCAGCAGGGCCACAATTGGTAATTAGTAATTTGTTAATTGAGACTTTGTTTAAAAGTTATTAACGATTTAAAGTTGCTCCTGTGAGGCGGCAACCTGCGAGCAGCTGTGTACGCGTGATAGTGGTTCTCTCACTCACAAAATTGTGAGGTTGTCGATACGTCAGTAAGTAGAGTTTCTCATGCTGAGTGAGAACCAGGGAACTTTTAAACGAAGCCTCAATTAACAAATTGTTATTCTTGATTTTCATTTTATTTTGGTTCAGGTTAGGTCTTTTAAACGAAGCCTCAATTAGCAAATTGTTGTTCTTGATTTTCGTTTTATTTTGGTCTGGGTTAGGTCTGGGTTAAAAAAAAAATTAAATTTTTGCCCTATACATGTCGATCACCCTGTACAATAGACGCCAGAAATTGTAATATTGCGTATAAAAATATGACGGAGATGCAACCACCGTCCCTATTAGATCTATCAAGAGACTATCTCACTTTCTAGTTGAGATTGTTTAAATTTTCGAAACTCGACTACTGTTCGAGGCTTCCGGGTACGAATCGAGTCTTTTAAGGAAGAAATTCCGACGTCTCAGTCAGCGTTGCAGCTGGCTCCACGGATGACGTGTGTTCTTGTCCATCGAGTGTGCTCATGTTTTATTTAGCTGATCCGTAAAACATGTGTTATTTTTTAATCATCTATCAAGAATGCACCTTTTGCGTTGATATAAGGTTATGTTGACCGGTTTACTAGATCCTAGAATCTTCTTGTCTCGAATTGCACATATTTCGAAAAACTCGCTATAGAAATGTCGCTGAGTGAATAAACCGGAATTCCTTAAACAGGCAGTGCTTCCGCGTCGGCGTCAGCGAACGCGTATGCAGGGTCAGGAGCAAGCGCGTCCGCGTTGAGCAACGCGAACGCGTTCGTCGGGAATTTTCCCGGAATCGACGGTGGCCACGAGGGTCACAAAGGGATCCGCAGCTACGACAACACCGGACTCGGCAACCAGCCGAACGGCGGCCATGACAGTTCGTCCGGTCATGCTGGAGTGAAGGGTGGTCGCGGTAGCGGCTGCTCGAAATGCAAATGGGAGGATGACGAGTATTGGGAGACGGAGGAAGAGGAGGAGGAGCCGGAGGAGAGGAACGAAGACGAGTGCGACGATGGCGACGATGGTCAATACAGGCCGGAACACCATCACGGGCGTGGGAAAAAACCAAATGTGCAGAAATTGGGAGCACCTGGAGTGGGGGGAGCACCGGTCAAAGGAGGCCCAGGAGGCAGTGGAAGCCCATCCTCAGGATCTCCATGGAACAAACCATCGGGTCAACAACATGGTCAACAGCCTGGAGCTGGTTCCAAACCCTGGAGCCAGGGACCTGGAGGTTCGCCTGGAACTTTTGGACCTGGACCGCATGGATCTGGAGGCCCAAATGCAGGCAAACCGGGTGCAACGAATCAGCCAGGATGGAACAAGGGGCCTGAAACAGGTTCTGGATGTTCTGGCAATAACTCACCAGGCTCGGGATGCGATCAAGGTGAGCAAGAATTTTTACGAGCTTCTTAAAATGGTAATTACACTGGGAATTATCCTGAGAAGTTTTTTCCCTGCATATATTAATTTATGAAAATTTAATTCGTTTTTTATGTAGGAACAAGTGGTGTTGGTCCTGTAAAGCAGGGTCCACTTCCGTTTGGTGGCCCCAATACGGGCAATGTTCAGAAACAAGGATCTCCTAACTATTCGACTAGTCCTACGGGAGGTTACGGTCCTCAGGGATCTAGTCCTACGGCTGGATGTGGTCCTTATGGTAACTGTGGACCTACACCCGGTGGCGGTCCAGGATATCCTGGCAGTCCGGGAAGTCCGGGAAGTCCAGGTAGTCCAGGACATCAAGGAGGGCCAGGATATCCAGGCGGTCCGGGAAGTCCAGGCAGTCCAGGAAGTCAAGGAGGGCCAGGATATCCAGCAGGCAGCCCGGGAAGTCCAGGTAGCCCAGGAGGTCCAGGATGTACCGGTGGTCCCCATGGTAATTGCGGTGGAGCTGCACCTGGTGGATTGCCTGTGAAGACTGGACCATTTGGTGGTTATCCAGGAAGCGGATCACCTAATGGTGGTACACCTGGAAGTCCAGGAGGCCCAAGTTATCCAGGCAAACCAGGAAGTCCAGGTGCTCCAGGAGGTCCGGGATATCCAAGCGGTCCGGGAAGTCAAGGAGGACCAGGCAGTCCAGGAAGTCCAGGAAGTCCGGGAAGTCCAGCATGTACCGGTGGTCCTTATGGTAATTGTGGAGCCGCACCTGGTGGATCTCCAGTGAAGGGTGGACCATTTGGTGGTCATCCAGGAAGCGGATCGCCTAATGGTGGTACACCTGGAAGTCCAGGCAGTCCAGGAGGCCCAGGTTATCCAGGCAAACCAGGTGCTCCAGGAGGTCCGGGATATCCAAGCGGTTCAGGAAGTCCAGGAGGACCAGGCAGTCCAGGAAGTCCAGGAAGTCCGGGAAGTCCAGGATGTACCGGTGGTCCTTATGGTAATTGTGGAGCCGCACCTGGTGGATCTCCAGTGAAGGGTGGACCATTTGGTGGTCATCCAGGAAGCGGATCGCCTAATGGTGGTACACCTGGAAGTCCAGGCAGTCCAGGCAGTCCAGGAGGCCCAGGTTATCCAGGCAAACCAGGAAGTCCAGGTGCTCCAGGAGGTCCGGGATATCCAAGCGGTTCAGGAAGTCCAGGAGGACCAGGCAGTCCAGGAAGTCCAGGAAGTCCGGGAAGTCCAGGATGTACCGGTGGTCCTTATGGTAATTGTGGAGCAGCACCTGGTGGATCTCCAGTGAAGAATGGACCGTTTGCTGGTCATCAAGGAAGCCAAGGCGGGCCAGGATATCCAGGCAGTCCGGGAAGTCCAGGTAGTCCAGGCAGTCATGGAGGGCCAGGATATCCAGGCAGTCCGGGAAGTCCAGGTAGTCCAGGAAGTCCAGGATGTACCGGTGGTCCTTATGGTAATTGTGGTGGAGCAGCACCTGGTGGATCCTCAGTGAAGGGTGGACCATTTGGTGGTCATCCAGGAAGCGGTTCGCCTTCCGGTCCAGGAAGTCCAGGAGGACCAGGATATCCAAGTAGCCCAGGAAGTCCAGGAGGTCAAGGAGGCCCAGGATATCCTGGCAGTCCTGGAAGTTCTGGAAGTCCAGGATGTACCGGTGGTCCTTATGGAAATTGTGATGGGTCTGCACCTGGTGGAACTCCAGTGAAGAATGGACCATTCGCCGGTCATCCAGGAAGCGGTTCGCCTTACGGTGGTACACCTGGAAGTCCAGGCAGTCCAGGTGGTCCACAATACCCAGGCAAACCAGGAAGTCCAGGAAGTGGTCCAGGTGCTCCAGGTGGTCCGGGATATCCAAGCGGTTCAGGAAGTCAAGGAGGACCAGGCAGTCCAGGCAGTCCAGGAAGTCCAGGATGTACCGGTGGTCCTTATGGAAATTGTGATGAAGCTGCACCTGGTGATGGATCTCCCGTGAAGAATGGACCATTCGCTGGTCATCCAGGAAGCGGTACGCCTTACGGTGGTGCACCTGGAAGTCCAGGCAGCCCAGGAGGTCCAGGTGGTCCGGGGTATCCAGGCAGTCCAGGAAGTCCGGGAGGTCCAGGTAGACCAGGAAGTCCAGGAGGCCAAGGAGGCCCAGGATATCCAGGCAGCCCAGGAAGTCCAGGAAGTCCAGGAAGTCCAGGATGTACCAGTGGTCCTTATGGAAACTGTGGTGGAGCTGCACCTGGTGGTGGATCTCCCGTGAAGAATGGGCCATTTGGTGGTCATCCGGGAAGTGGATCGCCTAATGTGGGCTCTCCTGGAAGTCCAGGAGGTCCAGGTGGTCAAGGATATCCAGGCAGTCCAGGAAGTCCAGGAAGTCCAGGCAGTCCAGGAAGTCCAGGAAGCCCAGGAAGTCCAGGATGTACCGGTGGTCCTTATGGAAACTGTGGTGAAGCTGCACCTGGTGGTGGATCTCCCGTGAAGAATGGGCCATTTGCTGGTCATCCGGGAAGTGGATCGCCTTACGGTGGTGCACCTGGAAGTCCAGGCAGCCCAGGAGGTCCAAGTGGTCCGGGGTATCCAGGCAGTCCGGGAAGCCCGGGAAGCCCGGGAGGTCCAGGTAGACCAGGAAGTCCAGGAAGTCCAGGAAGTCCAGGCAGTCCAGGAAGTCCAGGAAGCCCAGGAAGTTCAGGAAGCCCAGGAAGTCCAGGATGTACCGGTGGTCCTTATGGAAACTGTGGTGAAGCTGCACCTGGTGGTGGATCTCCCGTGAAGAATGGGCCATTTGCTGGTCATCCGGGAAGTGGATCGCCTTACGGTGGTGCACCTGGAAGTCCAGGCAGCCCAGGAGGTCCAAGTAGTCCGGGGTATCCAGGCAGTCCGGGAAGCCCGGGAGGTCCAGGTAGACCAGGAAGTCCAGGAAGTCAAGGAGGCCCAGGATATCCGGGCAGTCCAGGAAGTCCAGGAAGTCCGGGATGTACCGGTGGCCCTTATGGAAATTGTGGTGGAGCTGCACCTGGTGGTGGATCTCCCGTGAAGAATGGGCCATTTGGTGGTCATCCGGGAAGTGGATCGCCTAATGTGGGCTCTCCTGGAAGTCCAGGATATCCAAGCAGTCCGGGAACCCCAGGAAGTCCAGGATGTGGTCCTTATGGCAATTGTGGAGGTGCACCTGGTGGATCTCCATATGGGCCATCTATTGGACATCCAGGACATCCAGGAAGTGGATCACCTGATGGTTCTCCGGGAAGTCCAGGAGGATCAGGCTATCCAGGCAGTCCGATTAGTCCAGGAAGTCCAGGTGGACCTCAAACACCATATGGACCGTTCCCAGGCGCAAGCACAACTGCTGGAGCTCACGCTGGTGTGAGTAGACCAAGTCCTGGAAGTGGGCACCCTCCTGGATCACCAGGAAGTGGATCACCTGGCTCTAGTCCCTCGTACTCGCCGAATGGTCCTTATGGTGGTCAGAAGCCTGGACCTTATGGACCTGGCAGCGGAGTTCCGGGCGTGAAAGGAGGTCCGAGCGGTGCAGGTCACCCACCTGGAACACCAGGAAGTGGAGCACCAGGCTCTAGTCCCTCGTACTCGCCAAATGGTCCATCTACTAATTCTCCGTTTGGAAACACAGGAACACCAGGTTCTCCAAATGGTCCTTATGGTGGTCAGAAGCCTGGACCTTATGGACCTGGGAGCGGAGCTCCGGGCGTGAAAGGAGGCCCGGGCGGTTCAGGACCTGGCACTTCACCTTATCCTGGAAATGGAAAACCTAGCCCTGGCAGCAGTCCATCCGCTCCAGGAGCATCTCCCAACAAACCAGGCGCTGGAAATGGACACCCACCCGGTGGTCAAAGCAAACCCGACGGAGACAGCAAAATCTTTTACATAAACGTGAATCCTGCTCAGGGAACTCCGGCTGGAAGCAAGCCCCACGGTAACAGTGGCCCCCATGGAGGACCTGGAACGACGAAATCTCCCTTCGGAGCTGGACCGTCTGAACCGACCAAACCATATCAACCTGGTCCTCATGGCGGCGCTGGAACTACCAAACCTGCTTACCAACCAGGCCCTCATGGAGATGCAGGACCCACGAAGTCTCCTTTCCAGCCAACTCCTTATGGCGGTGCTGGAACCACGAAATCTCCTTTCCCAACAAGTCCTTATGGTGGACCTGGAACTGCAAAGCCTCCTTACCAACCAGGTCCTCATGGAGATGCAGGCCCTACGAAGTCTCCTTTCCAACCAGGACCTTATGGTGGAGCTGGAACCACGAAATCTCCTTTCCAAACAAGTCCTTATGGCGGACCTGGAACTGCAAAGCCTCCTTACCAACCTGGTCCTCATGGAGATGCAGGTCCTACGAAGTCTCCTTTCCAACCAGGACCTTATGGTGGAGCTGGAACGACGAAATCTCCCTATCCAAATGGACCTCATACAGGCACTCCTGGAGGTAGCCCTGGCTGGCCCGGTCCAACGAACCAAAGCCCATTAGGTGCACAACCTGGAAGTGGTACAAGCGGTTGTACAGGTGTGTTTCTATTATTCGTAGTAGTATTATGCTATTTTAAAAACATGGTCGTAACACGTTGTCGTCAACAGGTGGTGGTCAGAGTTGTGGAAGCGGATGCAGTCAGAGTACCTCTCCGGGCAGCAAACCTTGCGATGCAAACAATATTCCTAACATCGAGAAGCTCTCTGGCCCGGCAGGCGAAGGGCCCGACGATTTCTCGCAGTCTTCGCAAGCAGTGTTCCCTCCTGGCGAACCCATCCGACCATCCAACGGACCTGGCTGCACTTATGGCAGTTGTCCACCTGGATCGGGTCCAACGCCCGGTGGCAAACCTGACAACGCGAATAAAATTCCCGGAGGGCCTGGAACCTATGAATGGAATCCGTTTCTGACTGGAAAAGTGTCGCCTCCTAGTAGTGGTAATTAATCCATATACTTATACCAAAGAGTTTTCCTGAATTTAACCACTCAAATCCATTTGGATCTCCATCATCAGGTGGCTCGTACCCTGGAGCAACAACCAGCAAGCCAATAGGTGCTGGGAACCCCTTCTTCGGAGGAGGGCCTGCAGTTGGCGTAGGAGCTGGAGCAGGTGCATGGAGCGGCGCCAGTTCCGGAAGCCACGCCCCTCAGAACGGAAACTCTCCGTTCGGAGAGGGATCGACGAAACCCGTGGGTAAAGACAATCCGTTCTTTGGGCCAGGATCAGGACCCACGCGTGGCGATATCGGGGGCACGGGTGGTCCAAAGACTGGAGGACCAGGTTTCCAGACTCATCCTCCAAATAGCATCCTTGGACCAGGTCAACCATCGAGTGGAAATCCATTTGGTGTTGGAGCAGGCTCTGCAGCAGGAACCTTCGGTCACTATCCTGGTTCAGGTCCTGAATCTGGTAATGGTGCTGGAGGTCCTGGGGGAGTGAAGAAACCGTTAGGAACGCATCGTGGTAGCGGAAGTGGAGGCGGTGTTGGCATTGGTTTGGACGGTTTTGGAAACTTACCTGGACACGAAAATGGCGGTTCCTTCGGTGGAGCTTTCTCTGGCGCCTTCAGCAGCGCTCATGCGTCCAGTTTCGCTGACTCGAAGGCTGCCTCGTTTGGCTCGGGAGGTAAATTCAGCTTCCATTCAAATGGAACAAAAGTGTAGCCCTCTGGTGCCAATTCATTCTAGCAAGAATAGGTTATGTAAGAACGGAAGGGTCAGTCGAGCACTTGCGAGAAAGACAAAAGCGTAGCCCTCTGGTGGCGATTACGGGAAGTGACGTTTCCCAATAACTTGCAATACGAATTAAAATGTATATTGAAGCTTTCACGGATGTGGAACGGAAAGTAGTTTTCTAGAAAGGTTAAAGGACGGAGACCTTAGATCGAGATTAATATGATTGAATGGCTGTGGATTCCCACGCGATGGGAACGCGTTTCAAGGTTCGTTGTCGAACGGAGAGGATCCAACGCGACGGCGGTTGATGGATGACGAAGTCTTTCTCACAATAAAACATAAATCAGCGAGACCGGGGGCGCTGTTAATTAATGGCAATCGTCGATCCCATCGAGCAGCTTCCGCTCTCTTAACGTGCTCGACGTTGCGTAACCCTGTAACCCCGTAATGTTGCTCGAGCGTCGTATTTGCCTGAACGTAACACGTTATCGTTCGATTCGAATCTCCCAGCCATCTCAGTCAATTAATAATAACAGAAATGGTAATTTAGTTACGTACCTCTCGAAGCAATCAGGAAATTTTTTTTAAAAAACTAAAGGCGTAGAATTACAGTTTGACCTTCTTCGAGTCAAGAGCCTTCTACGATTCTAATTTCGTCGATTTTATATCGAACTATCTTCATCGACATTCCGTTTCGTTAGGTTATGTATCGAGCATTAAATCTTCAATTGTGTTGGAGACTAATTATTCACTTCGATAAAAAATGATCAGTGGTAATAACCGTGACACAAAGACTATTATAATACTTCGTTTTGTCTCGGATGTGTTGCATAGTCTTATCCAGCAGATCCTGTCTAAGACGAGTCTTGCTATTAGATAATCGATGGAACAATGTTTTCAAACTAATTATGTATTTTTAAACCATCGTGTAATTGAATATTGTTCAAACGATTAATAATCTGAGGCAGGATCTGCTAGATGTGTCTGATAAATGAGGTCAGCCGGCAAATCCGGGAACAAATGCAATTATGTTACTCTTTGTAACAAACGTGTTATTAATTGCTGGTAGAGGAGATGATTTGTAAGATACTGGATGCTTTTGAATTAAAAATTGACTTTCACATTTACTTTGTAAGAAGTAATAGTTCGATTTGACCTCGGATTGAACGGATTCTCGCGTTCCAGGGCCAAATCCAAATATCGGAGAAGGTAATGGCGGAAGTTGGGCCTCCAGTGGCGCGGCGAGTCAAGCCGGAAGTGGTTCCTGGTCCTCCAGCGGAGCATCCGCTTACGCCAGCAGCAACGCGGGCAGTAAGTTTCGAACTCCAATATTAATTTGAAGACGGACGAAACAATCCCATGCAATTATACTTATAAAAAAATATTAAATAATGTCAATTATAAAGGGTGTTCGGCCAACCCCGGGAAAAATTTTAATGGGGGATTCTAGAGGCCAAAATAAGACGAAAATCAAGAATACCAATTTGTTCATGGAGGCTTCGTTAAAAAGTTATTAATGTTTAAAGTTCCGCCAGTAATGAATTTTTTTCTCCAAAATGCGCAGGATTTCGGGGGTATGTCTATTCACCAAAAATAATTCTGATTGACCCCCGCAACTAAAAATAATTTTTTTAGAACGATTTGAAATTTTTTCTTTCCGTCGAAAAATTTCACACCTTCTCGAATTTTTTTCTTGAAAGTGCGTGGAAATTCAGAGGTATGTGTAATGACCAAAAATGATTTTAATTGACCCCTGTAACTAAATATAATTTTTTTAGTACGATTTTAAATATTTTAATTTCGTCTAAAAATTTCACACCTTCTCGAATTTTTTTCTCGATAGTGAGTAGGAATTCGAAGGTACGTGTAATGACCAAAAATGATTGTAATTGACCCCTGAAACTAAATACAATTTTGTTAGTACGATTTTAAATATTTTAATTTCGTCTGAAAATTTCACACCTTCTCGAATTTTTATCTCGAAACTGCGTAGGAATTCGGGGGTATGTGTAATGACCAAAAATCATTGTAATTAACCTTTTAAGTTAAAAATAATTTTTTTAGAACGATTAGAAACATTTCAATTTGGCCGAAAAATTTGTCAACCTACTCGAATTTTTTTCTCGAAACTGCGTAGGATTTCGAGGGTATGTCTATTCACCAAAAATGATTGTAATTGACCCCTTTAGTTAAAAATATTTTTTCCAGAACGATTTGAAATTTTTTAATTTAATTGTTAATAACTTTTTAACGAAGCCTCAGTCAAGAAATTAATATTCTTTATTTTCGTCTTATTTTGGCCTCTAGAATCTCCCAGGGGTGGCCGAACACCCTGTATATGTATATTATTAATACGATTGAGTATAAATAATGTATATTTCCGTAAAAAAAATTTCACAAAGAATTTATTCGATTTGAAAATTTTCGTTGTATCGAGAAGGTTTGTGTGAAATGTGAGGCCATCGGCGTTAATTACGCCTAAGGCGAAATTTGTTGAGTCAGCCTTATTGACGGCTCCGTCATCAAAGCACCTACGAAACGCCAAGTAATTTTTATACTTTTGTTTTGAAATTCCAAACCCGGAAGAAATTATATAATTTATGAGAAATGCCAGATTTAAAATTGTCTTTAAAATCTGTTTCTGGTAATTCTTAATTTATAAAATAAAAACAAGTATAGATAACATTTCCAGAATTAAATATTAATTGTTTCTTTAAATCCTAGGTTATCTTCTGATGTAAAAATTCTCGTTTCAGGCTGGGCAGGCGCAGCACCACATGCAGTGAAAGGATAGTCGACGAGAAACGAGGACGAAAAGGAGAATAACCTGCCACAAAGAAGAAAAAAAATTATATTTAAATTGTACACGAAACTGCTTATGAGATTAGTTTTATTTCGCTTAATCTTCGCCTTTATTTGTAATTTATTTTACTTCTTTCAATGCGATACAATCTCGTATGAAAAGACTCGTTTGTATCTTTTTTTTTTTTTTTTTGTACCCAGAATCCTGTACGCTTACGCCGACAATTAGCGAAGAATTAATGCCGATCCCGCGGCGCGATTGTACGATTATTATGCGGAGATTGCTATCGCCTGATGTCCGATAGATAATGAATAGTGACATAAGCGATGAATCGTTCACGATACCGAACGGATCTCGAGTGTTTCTAATAAATAAGAAACTAGTTAACGATACAATCAAACGTGTACACTATTTAATTACATCTTTTTAACGGAAAAGTAACAAGAAAATTGCCACGATAGGAGATAATATAATTTAAGTAATAATTCAAGACGATTATTTATGTTCGAATCTAATTTAACAAATTTTTTCATTAAGATTCTAATAATTAAACGTGAGTCGAGATTCTATTTGCTTTGTTATTAATAGATCGTTAATTGTTTTAACAGACCCTAACTCTACCATTCATTACGTTACCTAGGACCTGGGACTATTATTGCTGGTTGCGTTGGCTTCGCTGAGGGTAGGAACTCGTAACTCGTGTTATTCGTAGGACAACAGAAAAGGAAAGTAGAGGGCGCTAGTGGACTGATCAGTAAAAGGCTTTCTAGCAGGCTCTGCCTTTTTTTTTTTAACACACGTTTATTAAAGCCTTATGAGATATATACAAACAGATACAACGAATCCTTAAACGTATAGAAGTAGGAAAAACATGGCTTAAAGAACATTAATTCTTACAGACTAAAGACTCTATTTGAGTACGGCGTCTTACAGACTAATGCCGTTTAATAACCTTAACTAAAATGAGTAAAGGAACTTAATCTATTACGCTTATAAGTTCAGTATAGAAAAGGCATAGTAAAAATTATACTAGAGTGACAAGAAGGGGGAAGTTATTGGGGTTAATGAGCAGGCTCTGTCTTTTTTTTTTTAACGAACGTTTATTGTGCCAAGAAAACAATTATATATATATATACAAGGGGGTACAAATATACCTAAACCGTACAAACGGCTGACTTGTAAACTAGGACTACAAATTTAGACTAATTGGCTCAACATAGAGCTCGCGTAATCTTAACATTAAATAATATCCGTCGCATTTAATGCTACTTACAAGATAGTTTTAAGAAAAGTTAGTTATATTAGGGGCAAGATTTAATATTTTGTATAGAAAAGGCCCTGCCTTAGACGACTGGGACATTAAGAAGTCGTTCGAGGAGTGTATATATAGCAATCGAGGGGTGGTCGAACGCTTGTGAGAGCGCCATCCCCCTGGTGGCGAGCATGGGAGGCAACGCCTGCAATTTTATTGTCATTTTACTCAATAAGCATTTCATACTGCTACATCTCGTACACAGAAACCTTTTTTACCGTGACAAGGATGAAGATAAAATACGAGATAAAAATTTGAATACCTTTTCACAAATTAAGGAACCAAAATACTCATGACACATAGTTGTCTGTTGCCGAAATTGAGTTTGCACTAGCGTCTTTCGCAGGGAAACCCAAACACAGTCGTCTGGCCGTTTAATGGATGTAAATATAACAGGCTGCGCCTACGGAAATACCACTTATGTCACCAGCGTACTCCAAAGATAGCTGTCTACATAATTTACACGCACGCTGGTGAATTATTCATGACAACTGGATATACATAGTTGAATATACATACAGGTCGTTACTGCAGCCAATAGCCTCGCAAAGCTGACTGTATTTGTCCACAAATCGTACAAATATAATGATGTTGAAAGAAATGATCTAAGATCTTGTGACAATACTTTGTAAACATTGTTCAAGTTGTCCCTCTCCCAATTAAAAAATGTAATCTTGTAATGGAACATAATTATACGTTCTGGACGCAATTGTTGGAATAACACTCGATTCTTTTCTCCAACGATCGCTTCTAAATTACTCTAAATTATTATTCTAAAACGCATCGCTAGAGGATGTAATAGGAAGTTGCATTAAACGATCGGATCGGTACAGAGGATATATACATCACTCATTTATAAAATCGTCTTTTACACGTGTGAATAAAACGATTGTTTATTAAAACTGTACAATTTGCATACTGTGAAGCTGTCCGTACGCAGTGATGGATTTTCGTCACGCGACAGTCGCGTGCTAATGTTGCTCATGAAATCGACAAAATTTTCTGTCTGTTTTGTGTCGAAGCTTGCAAATATTTTATCGCCATAATCACATAAAATCACATAAATCTCTTTATAGTACATCATCGATAAAGTTTTCCGAATTTGAAGAAAACCGATTTTATATGACCACTGATTTGAAATTCTAATAGTTTCGGGAGGACACCATTTACTTTATCTTGCCCGCGGATACTTTGTACGTGCCCTTCCCGGACGAATCGATGTTGGCTGCACTGTTGCTGTAGACACCCTTGGCGCCGGTCACGGTACCGCTCTTCTCCGCTCCTTCTTCGACGTCGCCCATACGGGAGAAGATGCTAATAATTAAATAATAATTGTATGATTAGTTATTGTGCTGTTCAATGAATCGCTCTTATAATTAGCTGGTACTGATGGTGAGCGTAAGAGAGAAATAGCTTAGAATTCGTAGTTTACAAATTATACTCTATTTACAAGCACATAGATGTATAAATTGAATTATGAATTCTTTAAATTACGTTGGAGGATCACACGTACTTAACATTTTTGTGCTATTGAATTTCTAAACTTCGTACATCTCTAGCTCTCCTTTCAAGCGTAAATATAATAGTTGTCAACCTACTCTACACCGTGTCCAGGAGCACCGGGACCACCGAAACCACCAAAGCCTCCATAGCCAGCGTTTGCATTCGCATTGGCGGATGCACTGGCGCTCCCACCGGCAACAGCATTGGCGGTTGCGCTAGCACTAGCATGAGCGTTGGATCCTCCATATCCGCCTTTGCATCCTCCAGGACAGTTACCTCCTGGCCCACCTCCACCGTATCCACCGGCTCCACCACCTCCTGCGCCACCGTATCCACCGGCTCCACCAGCTCCACCACCTCCTGCGCCACCGTATCCACCGGCTCCACTTCCTGCGCCACCGTATCCACCGGCTCCACCTCCTGAACCACCGTATCCACCAGCTCCACCACCGCGTCCAGCGCCACCGCCTGATCCTGCTCCACCACCAGCGCCTCCATAACCGCCTGCACCACTACCAGCGCCGCCATAACCACCTGCACCACCGCCAGCACCACCGTATCCGCCTGCTCCACCACCAGCGCCACCGTATCCACCTGCTCCACCACCGCGTCCAGCGCCACCGCCTGCTCCACCGCCATGTCCAGCGCCACCGCCATGTCCAGCGCCACCACCAGTTCCTGCTCCGCCACCAGCGCCTCCATAACCACCTGCTCCACTACCAGCGCCTCCATAACCACCTGCTCCACCTCCAGCGCCACCGTATCCACCTGCTCCGCCACCGCGTCCACCACCTGCACCACCGCCTGTTCCTGCACCACCTCCATAACCACCGGCACCACCATAACCGCCAGTTTTAGTTACTCCGGTTGATCCTAATGAATACAGAAAGATGAAGTTGTTAAATTTCTTGTCTAATGCTTCTGACTATATCTACCCTTTGCTAACTAAGAATTCATTTTAATAGAAGTGACTAGCTACTTTGATATCATTGTAATGCTTGATGATACTACTGCATGTAAGAACATTTCCACTTGGAAATAGGTCATTTGAGAGTTCCCAATATTCCCCAACTCCGTACAGCGCGAAACTCACCTCCACGACCTCCGCCAGCGCCGTTTCCACCTCCAGCCCCTGAACCGCCTCCGTAACCTCCAGCTCCTCCACTAGCAGTTGAGCCACCATATCCACCGGCTCCTCCAGCTCCTGAGCCACCATATCCACCTGCACCGCCTCCAGCTCCTGATCCTCCGTAACCGCCAGCTCCTCCACTAGCAGTTGAGCCACCATATCCTCCAGCGCCACCTCCTGCGCCAGATCCGCCAGATCCACCATATCCACCGGCTCCGCCTCCAGCTCCTGAGCCAGATCCACCATATCCTCCAGCGCCACCTCCTGCGCCACTTCCTGCGCCACCTCCTGCGCCAGATCCTCCATATCCTCCAGCGCCACCTCCTGCGCCAGATCCACCACAACCTCCAGAGCCACAACCGTTTCCGCTTCCGTGTCCTCCAGCACCACCTGCACCACCTCCATGTCCTCCAGCACCCCCAGCACCACCTCCATGTCCTCCAGCACCACCGGCACCTCCACCAAGTCCACCACCTCCACCAAGTCCGCCTCCTCCTCCAAGACCACCTCCTAGGCCGCCACCACCTCCAAGTCCACCTCCTAGGCCACCTCCACTTCCAAGTCCACCTCCACCTCCTTTTCCACCTCCAAATCCTCCACCGCTACCGCCGCCATAACCTCCACCGTATCCGCCGCCTCCGCCACCTCCACCTCCACCTCCACCACCGCCACCTCCACCGAATCCTCCACCGAATCCGCCTCCTAATCCACCTCCCAATCCACCCGCTAATCTTTCTAATCCAGCTCCTAGTTGACCGAGATGGTCGAGGTGCGCGAAACGTCTCGCCCTTGTTTCAGCATCTAAACAACAATTCATAAAATTAACCGATGCATAGAGAAAACGTCACGTTCATTAGAAGGACACCGCAAAATTTTTAATGCAGACATAAAAAAATATTACTAATCCTATCGCTACCTATAGATTGAAAAATAGTGCTTCAATGCATCGTATAACCTGAGTCACGAGTAACCTGCATTACGTCAGATTAGAATTGGGAAAACACGCGGAAAAAGAAAAAACAACCATGTACCGAGACGATCGATAATATACCTGTAGCAAGTGGTACATTAATGCTAAATTATATAAGAAAAATTGGGACTAAAGATCCGATATAGTATGTGGGGTTGGAAAATGCAAATAGAGATCGATTTAATCTGGTCTGAATTATAAATACTGATAAAACAGTTGTCAGTGGATTCAAGTCAACCAGCCCAACCCGATATAGGATCATAAAAGGTTAATTTCATAGCTACTGACCCCTCGAAGCAACGGGGGGAAAATTTTTGCAATAGTCGGGCACTCCTGTAAAATATAGGTTCGACTTTATAATTTCTGCTCTTCTTCTAAGAGAATTACTACTCGTTCGAATTAATAAGCGATTAAAATAAGTATCAAGTTGTCGATCAACTATCGTTACAAAATATTTACGATCGATATAATTTTTATTCGAGTAGCCTTTTGAACGGTTATCTTGGATCAGAGATCAAAGACACCCATCGAGGCACTGCAGCATCAAGAAATCGCGGATGATAAATCACTAGGATTTTCACAGTAGCAAAAATCAAATTTGTAATATTTGATTCTCGGTATAACATTAAAAACACTAGTTCCTAAAACTACAGACTATTAGACTTTTATTCAAAATATCGATATCTAAAATAATGTACGAATAACATATCGACATAAATAAAATGGATGCCTCTGTTACAAAGGATTGTTTCCCCCTTAAGAGGTTAGGATGCAAAGAAAATTTAATTACTTTCAGTCGAATAAAATAATTAATATGTGTTGTAAAAATAATATAAAAAAAAAATTCCAGAAAGGGACATAAAATTTGGTTTTCGAGACCGTGAAAGTTTCTTGAAAAAAAATGAAAATATAAATACCTTGCGCGTGTACGCAGGAAAGGGCCACCAGGGCGCACAGCCCGATTGTCCGATACCGCAACATGATATCGAGAAAATGTTTCTTCTAATCCGTTGGTTCGCGAGCCGCTCATCTTTATATCGTCCCTCCCACTCTGTTTTCCCGCGATTCTTCCTGAAACCGCCGCCGCTTCTTCGAACGCAGATCGAAGCGCGAAACGACAACGGGGGCAAAAAAACGCACGTTGGCCAAGGCTAAGGTAACCGATTACGGGCATCCATCACGTTCGATCGACGGAATCTACGAAAATCTCATGTCGGAGCCTCTCCCGCGAACAGATCGCCACCAGCAATTTAAACGTCGTTGAACTCGATGATCGACGTTGGCCTTGGGCATCGTCATCTCCTCGTTCCTCGATGGTTTCTCAATTGTTCCTTTCAAATAATTCGAAGGGAAAAAAGGTACCTACTCCAGAGCCAACACTTTTGTTGTCATAATTCCCCAGACAGATGCTTAAATTCTTCTATAGATAACAATTTTACAAACTGTTTATCCGATACTCGTAAAAATTTCTGTTCTAATTATAGAATTAAATATTTCATAATAAACAACTTAAAGTCGCGAACGAATTGCTGTAGATTAGTTTTATTCGTTATCTATTATTTGCATAAATTTTTGTGCATCTCTGCTTTGTAACATCTGAGGAACTATCTAGGGACTATTTAAGTAATGGAAGACTATTCGCAGAATATAACTATTAACACTACTTCTATCACGGTCTTCTGCATATCAATTTCAATTGGCAGGTGTCTTTTCAGAAATATAAGTGATAATTGATTGTTTATTGTTCCTAGAAATTCATCCAACTCGCGCTAACCTTATTTTCTGTAAACGTGCCATCGAGTTCTTCATCCACTTCGTATAACCTTCTTTACTTCGTATTCCTAATTTTATTCATTCACTTTATTTTGTTTTACATCTTTATTTACACAAATAAAACAAAATACAGAAAGAGAAGCAATAAAATAGATACATATGTTCATTAAATGCGCCACAATGAGAGGACCAGATTCGGTGATCTAACCTAACCCAAAATCAGACATATCGAATGAAGCTTAATCTATTAAATGTTGCTTTATAAATACACGTATCTTTTAGCATATTTCAGTGGAAATTGTTATGTTCTTTTTAATCCTGTTTGCTTGGATATGACAGCATATTGATCAGCGTTGGTGATAAAAATTTATTGACTATTGTAAAACAATCACACGCCTGGGACTTATATCAAAGTTGAAACTAGCCCTCGGATTAAAATGTGGTTGATCATGATGTATCTCCTCCAGACCTATAAACCTAAGTCGTGAATAGGGCATAATTTCTACGCTTTCTTTATTTATCTAATAAAGACGTTATAATAATAATATTTCTCAACTCGTAATCCTTGAAACTACGTAACACCTTACTCTCTCGCATATTCTACGTCTAGACATTTTTTTCATAATTGCCTCTGTGCGTTAATCGAAGTACGAGTCTCGACGTTTAAAACTCACTCGTCTTTCAGTTTTTTTTTTAAACAGCTTCCTTAAAAACCTCGGCTTCTTCGAACCGTGTAGCTCGTTCTAACCTTCCGCGTTTCATATTTTTAAGTTTCAAATCTAAGGTTAGGTTACAAAACATCGATTCTCTTAACCTCGCTTTTAATCGCGTTGAATAAGGGTTTCGATAAAAATATTTTTTTTGAAAAATCAGGGGTCGCGATACAATGTTTAGTCGACGATTCCTCGTCGAGCAGGGGATCTCCCGATGGAAATACGGAGAACCGAAAGATAACAATTGGTAAAACCGACCTGGTCGCCCGCCAGTTGCGTCACTGGAAATTTTCGCGTGCACCGTTGCGATTTTTTCAATGGCCGTCTCCGTTGAGTCGATCCCCGCGACGCAAACAAATTTTTGAAGATCGATAAGACGAGCCTCGTTGCGTAACCGAGAGCATCCTCGGATCGTAAATCGCCGCCGCGATCAATTCGCTGTCGAACGTGCAACCGTACTCCCAATTGCGCTTCGGGTAAAAGCTGACACGCGTAAACGGAAAATCGTTGATAACCCCTCGCGATTTGTCTCTTAGACATTGACCTGAATCGAATAACATTCTATCGACTTTATACAATCGCGATTACCATTATACACTATTCCGTTTCGTGTATTTTAACGATTCGAATTTAACAAAGTTAAAGCAAAAGGGATGTTAGGGCCGTTTATTTAAGGGGGCATTCTTCAAAAAATTAACAAAGTTTTCACGAGCTTCAACTACGAATTATGTACATTATTTGTAAAATAATCTTAACCATGTTTAAACGTCCATATCTGTATATCTATTACGAAGTAAATATTGGTCTATTGTACTTTTGTTACCTTTATTTGTAACTTCATTGTCAACTTCATCGTCCCCTAAATACCAAAATTTCCTTCCCTCCACAATTCATAATTTCTAAACTTGCTTTTATTTAAATCTTTCTCGTACTTTTTATCTCGCTTGATCTATTTTCTAATGTTATCTTGTTTGTCCTATTTTTAGCTCTTTACGTTTATGTAATAAATTTGAGGTTAGGTTTACTTTGCAGCTGTACTTTGCCATTATTGAATTATTCTTCGTACGACAATGTACGTACACTGTATCTGTGTGCATGATAACGGCATATAATAATAATAATAATAGTAATTAGCGACAAGACGTCGTGTTTCATTGCTGCGCCCCGGGCAATAAAATACTTGAAACTCGGTTCTGTTTACGACCACCGAAAGATCACGATTTTATCATTTTCAATTAAACACGAATTGCAACAATTGGTTTCCTCGATTATCTCTCGGTACACGGACATTTGCATTAAATACTCGTTCGACCGGCTTCGTTTATGGTATTTAATACGAACAGAATAATCCGTCGTCGATCACTTACGGTGATATCGAGGAAACGATTAATGGATATCAACCGTGATCGCCGCGATTCTATTATGGGTATTCCCAGCTTCGTTTTCATCGGGCAATTAAAAATAGAAAAAAAAATTATACGAGTACTACGGACCGTATTCTTTTTTTTAATACATTTTTTTTTCTTGTCGTAAAATTATGCAGAAATAGAAACAAAGTCGATTCGTATGCACGTACACATACAAAGCGGGAGACGTTAAAACTCATTAGCAGAAACTCTTCGGATCTAAAAAAAGGCTTTGAATAAATTACCGAGCACGAGCTTCGTTCTCACGACTAATACCGAAAGAATTCATGTGGATGGCGTATGCGCGTTTATACCAAGCCGCGAAGGTTAAAAGCAATTATCAAGGTTTTCTTTTTAATCGTGATTTACTAATTACCGATACGCATTTGTATGCAACGAAGCGATTGTTGGTCGCTGATTCGGGATTAGTGGTTAAATTGTTGAGAAAATATAGAACTCTGACCAACGAGAAAAGTCACTAGGGAAAATGTACTTGGATGCAATTATCCGTTGGCGTGGAACAGCTAGGGAAGAAATTAAATCCTCGTCTCCAAATCATGGTAAAACGCCAATTGCGTCAAAATGGAAAGCGACACTCGTTGTTACTCGTTGATCGAGTTTCGAGACGATTCGATCAATGGTCGACTTGATCGGTTTGGAATAAAACGCTGAAAGTATTGATGTACGTTTATTGCGAAATATCGATACATAATATTATATAACAACGTATGCTTCGAGTTTACATTGTGAAACGCAGTTTTATAATCGAGAAACGGTACAATTCTTTTGAGATAAACGTACGTAGTTTGGCAATATTTGTTCGAGCGGCGTCGGACGCGTGCACGTTGTACAAAGCTGCCAACACTCAATAGAGATGGCACGCTTCCCGTAAAAGTAACCTGAATGAACACAACGCGTCCGGCGCTCGCTCGTGAGTAAGATTTTTCGAGTATAAAACTAATTCTTCTCTCTTATATGTTTTTTTCTTATTTTTCTTTTTTTCTTGTATATGTGTATATATACACGGATATGTCTACATATATTAATTAAATTCTATATTATAACAAAACAATTGTAGTAACTAAAAAACAGATAACCATTAAGTTACGCTGACTGTTTCTCTTTTTCGCTTCGATAAGCTGTTTACGTTTACGATGTGTATGTGTGTGTGTGTGTGTGTGTGCATGCGTATGAAATGTACGTGTGTGTGTGTGTTTGAGTTTAGATTATTACGTAGATTCTCTCGCCATAAATACATCCATTCGTTACAACAGACGTTTACACGTATCGTGGAATTAACATCGTTCGCGTAGTAAATTTCGCGGTAGCCAGTCATTGTCGACAGAATCCTGTATTGCTTCGAAAGAGCCGCGGTATAGTACGTAACAAAGACGAACCGTAAAATTATAAAATTCTTACTGATAATAAAATCTATATATATATATATAAACGTATGTTAATTATTAATTTAATAACGAGAAAGAACGTTACTACGCTAACGAAATTATTGTCTTTTCCTCCAAGACGTGGTTCTATAAAGAAATCTCATTTAGAAGATTGGTCCAAGGTTTAGCGCTAAATATCTCATTTACCCGCCATCGATAATCTCGCGGCTTCGCCGTTTCAACGGGTAGACGAACGAATCCTTATCAAGACGCGAACACGCTCAAGCTCGTTTTATCAGATTCATATTAATTTTAAACAAATGCGAGTTACGCTTAGATCTAACTAATTCTATATACATACCAATTATATCACCCTTGTGACCACGTATTATCGTGCACGCGTCAATCATAAGAGTACAAGGAAAATAAACGCGATAACGGTTTCTATTTGTTTTTGATCCGTCGAAATTTCTACGAACGACCGATCACGGAAACGAGCACAAGGTAAAATGCTTCCATCCGCGGTCGGAAGGTTTCGCAGCATCGAACATTTCACGAGCAACAACAGTCTTTACATTTTTTTCTCTCGATATAATAATTTCCATTTGATTGTCGTTTACAAATTTTTGATCGTAACAAATATTTGATTTCAGTCCCTCGAGTAAGGCCGCAACGTTTCATTACGTTCAACTCTTAAAAATCCGGGTCGTCGCCCGATGACGTTGAGATTTTTTTCGATTTAATACTATATACTGTACTCGTTAATATCC